CAGAGACAAGAGATGTGGCATGAAACTCGTTCGCCGATGAAATGTATGTATAGTGGATGCCAGTTGCACGCCCTTCGCGGGCAATGAATCCTTCATTTGATTATTCAAATACGCGCGCACTGTGAGGAATTAACTAACTGGGTATTATGAGCGGCTGTGAGAGAATCTTTCTGGCCAAGTGCATTGGCTAAAAGGATGATGGGGTGTGCACAAAGAAGAACATACGGAAGGGAATGAAGAGATCATCAATCATGAACCGAAAACACCAGAGAGCATGTAATCTCCATTCGGTGTGGCTCTCTGTGTCTTCTTCGCCTGTGGAATTATTAAATGTTACTAATAAACGTTGCGATGAGTAATGATTCGGGAAGAGAAACTTGTGTGTGCCGCCAAGATCCCGAGGCGCGGACATGTGTACATACATTCACGGCCAAGGGAAAAAATTAATTAAAATTATTGTTGAAAGTGCAATATTGTTGGAAAAACACGATGGAAGAGATTCCGAGCAGTAATCTATGGGAGACGACAAAAAGGAGCTGTGCAGGAAGGCAGTCGAGAATTGATCATTTTCTACCGCCCTACACCACACAACATCGCCCGACTATTTCCCTTTATTGTTCATTTATCAAGACGACAATCCTGTGCGGTCTTCTCAATATATTATTATTATACCTCTGACAAAGTGGCGCAAAAAGCTCCGTGCTATTGCTCAATAAATGTGGGTGTTCTACATTTCGTGTAAGATGAAAGAGTTGATGTGCGAGCACGAAGAAATCAGAGATGAAAAAGTACGATTGTGATGAAGCATTAAATAAAAAGAAGTCTAGAATTTCAAAGCCAAGACCAGTATCTCGGACAATTATTCGTGACTGTGGGAAGGTGGCAATATTTGGAAGTGTTCCACACTTTCTTCGCATCATTTAATCAATTAATTGTGTATATGCTGTGAATTTGTCAGCCGTGGGAGCGGAGCGAGAAAATAGAAACTGTATTTACGCACTTTTCTCCCTTCACCTACATTAAATAAGATTTCTTTTAATTGCAATTGACAAGATGATGGGTAAATTCATGTTTTCTTCTCTCTTTTGTGACTCTCTTGCCGCGAGAAATGCATGTGAGTCAGAGGTGAACTGGGATGATTAGCTGCATTTTATGGGCTTTCCATCAATTATCTGTTGAAATTTATGAACTGACATTCTTCGTAAGATATGTATGTAAATTGTAAAAATTTTAGTGCATGATATATAGTGAATAGTACGAAAAAAATCTAAGAAATTATATCTATCATATTTGAATAAAAGGAATTTTCGTTTCTAAAAATAATTTCACAAAATAAGTATCTATACTAATGGAAGCTTTTAACGCAATGCTATTATCACGATCAGCGCTTTTCTCTCAACGTGCCTTGTCACAACCTCTTTAAAATCAATAAATTTCTCCAGACTCTTTTGGACTTTCATCTTGAAGTATTACTAAATACAAGACTAAATATAATATCGCCCAAAACTCATCCTCTCGTCAGTGTTAACCTTTACTTGTCTCATTAGCGACGGAAAATATGATCCTCACGTTTCGTATCTGAATAGGTTGCTGTATTTTCTCCGTCCAATTTCTACCCATCATCTTTATTGTATTATCTACCTGCGAAATGCAATTAATATTAATGTGTGAATTGAAAAAGAAAATTGCGATGTGAGTGTGGCAGAAGAATGGGTGGATCATGTTGTATAATGACAATGAGCTTTGATCATCTTGTGATCGCGCTGTGGGGACGCGTGTTGCCTTTTTGCGTTTTTAAATACATCTTGCAAACATTCGCCTATATATGATTGTGTGTCATTTTCTTGGAAAATTATCTGAGAGAATCTCCGACGGGGAGCCTCATTGAATGGAACAGAAGTAGAACTGGCGCAGAAGAAGTGCCCCTGGCTATGGCCGGAACATTTCTTGGGCTCTGTAACTATTGAAGGTGTTTATGGTGTCGGAAATGGGTTTTTTAGCCTGACATTTCTCGAAGGCATGCGGCTTTTTTGGACCCCTTCAATAAAGGTAATAATATCGAATAATTAGCAGAGTCATAAACTGACACTTTGAGCGATGCTGCTTCAATTTCATCTTCTACTGCGAGACGCTTTTTACCTTTGCTGCCTCTGCCCAGAAATTCCACTGGGAGCAGTATACAAACGGTGTTTTCAGGTAATTACTATGAACTACTGTGACTAATTTGATCATTAAAGTGTATATCTTTTTCGCAGTGCTATGAGGTGCAATTTTAATTGTGCACGCCACGGGTTGACGATCGGGATGGGGCGTTGGATGGCCCGGGAAGAGTGAGAAAAGGTGAAATGAGAAATATTGAGCAAAAGTGGAGGAAATGGCTTAGTCAATCTCTTGAGCGGTGCAATTCTAGGTGAACTTGTTGCTGCTCAAGAGGTGAAATTGTTTCGTTGAACTTGCTGCCTTGGCCGTTGTGCTGTCGACACTCGAGACATGTGGAACCGAGATCACGAATAGGAATGCTCTCCCCGGAGCCCCTGAAGGGGCATGGAAGAGTGCAAGCGAGATGATACGGTAAGATGGTAATGAGAGATTTTCGCTTGCCGGGCATGTAGTTTTCTAGCGATCTCTTGATGCCTAAGACTGTACTCATAATAGTAAGGACAAGATCCTTGTAATTATAACTTTTTCCACAGACATTGAAGTTACTGTTTTGGCAAGACTTTTTAAGATTGTGTAGGTATTATTGAAACGAATATCTGAAATAGAGCGCTCGAAACATCGAATGCGTTCACTCTTCTTTTTTTAATGTGATAACGTAAAACTATTATTAATTTCATCGACGTTACATTTTTTATCAATACAGTCTTTATCGGTCTTTTACACTAGGCGTCTGCGGGGGGTGTTTTGGCGTAAATAAAACGGTTAGCGATAGTGAATGAATGAGGTGAGAAGGAGTGGAGAGCAAAAAGGCGCGCAACTGGATATTTTACAGTTGCACACACCTTGTTCAATAAGTTAATAGGCTCATGAGCCCATCGTCAAGACTAACTTCCATTTCATTGGGCATGTGCCGAAGAGTCTCCCACCGAGTAGCACCATCTGGCACGCATTTGATGGATAAATTAGCGGATTCTACATGGCCTTTCGTCATCCGGCCCAAAGCGCAGGAGCCACATTCCGAAAACAGCCACCTGAGAGAGCCCTCAAATGTAGCCACAGCCCATAAAAGTGTGCATTGTGCAATATGGACGAGATGCTCATTCTCGTCGCCGGATTGTTGATAGGAATTCAAAGCTACTACATGGCATTTTTCGCTCCATCGCCCATAAACTAAACTCCTCTAGCTGATTTCCCACAGTCATGGGGTCTCGCAACATCGCTTTTGAATATTTTCCTCCATTTCATTTAATGTGTCACTGCATAAAAGCTTAAACAGGGTTTACGGACGGTCGAGGAGGTGTCTGCAAATCAGGAAACTTTGAAAAATACCCAATAAATTCCTCTCGATATGATGCGAGGGGACTTTACATTTGAACTTTGACCTAAAACACCGAGGTGAGAGGTCAACCAGCTAACGGATGCGTAAGAGCTCCAACAGTGACAAATATGGTACTACATTTTTGCATAAAGTTCCCAACGCTGTTGAGAAATCTTTGCTGAAAAATTCAGCAAGCAACGGAAATTTTGCAACACTTGCGCCCAGAGCTTGTATATGGGCAAAAGCTGCCGGAGGAGTCGCCCAATGCAACCGAGAGGCAAAGAAGTCAGTCTTGCGTATATAAAAGTAACTGTCCTTGATTGGCTTACTGGCCTTTTGGCACTTGAGATAGCAGAAGATCACACTGCGTGCAGATGAGTCGAAGATGTGTGGAATTTTTAATTAATTAACCATTTGATGATATTCTCAGAGTGATTGTGAATGTCAGGAATTCACCTTGAATTCAATACAGTAATAGTTATGCCAAAATTCCACAAATCAATACAAAATCGTGAATGTGTATTCCAAGCACCTGTGAATTTATCTGCTGGCGGGATGGCCACCAACTTCCCCATTTCACAAATTGCTCTTGCGATGATGTTAAGGTCGGAATCGAGCAGGTTGACTCGATCGTGGGGATACAAATCACGATTTTCAGTTATTCCGCATATCATTGCTATTGACTTTCACTGCTCAGAGCCAGTGGGCTTTTAACAGTGGATGGAAAAAAGATCTCGCGCCGAAGATTAATCGGCACTTTTTTGTGTAACACATCTCATCCAGAGATTATTTATGGGCAACACGAGGTGAAGAGTGGTATTTTCACTGATGTGGAAAGGTAAACATTAGACTTTGGGAGAATCCAGAAACTGGTAAATATTGCGAGTTTGCCAATTTGAGCAGCAGGTTTCAAGTCGATGTGCAAATGAGTGTAAAAATTGCGCAAAAAGACACTTTGTCGACTCAAGTCATCAAACATTATACCATCAATTAGTGTGACTCAGAAAAGACACTAAATTTTGCTCATAGACAATATATAGTGACGGAAAAAATAAAAGTATTCATGTATTACACATGAAGGAATAGTTGTAAATTGATAGAGTAAAATTGAGGATTTTCTGTTCATTTTAAACTACTAGTTTATCAGTGCCAATTCTGCATGATAGAATCATCTGAATAAATGCTATGTGTAAATGATTATTCTAAATCATGTTCTTAAGCTTTTTGAAACGGATCAAGTATAAATTAAGTGACTTTTGATGGTAAGGTCAGAGTGCGGAGAATATATTTGAAAGCAATTCAAATGCGAAGTGAATGGAAAGAAGATCTAACGAGTGTGTATTCTCATTATTTTAATAACCAGAATTTTAAATTATTATTCAGTGGAATAATACTTGTTTTGTCTAAAATATGCAAACATATTCAGAGACGAGACTGGTCTTCTGTACGACTGGGAAGACCCGAAAGCTATATGGCGTCGCAGGTGGTAACATTGAGGAGGCAGGGAGGCTGTGACACTTACCGTCTGGTTTGCCTGGGAATTGACTGTGTCCAGCAGACTGGAACTGGATGCGCCTTGGTATTTGGTTTCATTGTGGTGAATTGCTGGCGATGGCTGGGCTGCCAGAGCTGAAGCTCTCTCAAGGAATTGGCGCTCGTGATTCCGGGTGGGAAGAGCGAAAACATGCTGCTGGCAGGTTTCAAAGGCCTCTGCTGCTGATAGTTGCGGTTTGGGTCCACCTGAACCCGCACAAATTTACCCGCCAGAACATCTCCCACATTTCGTTCTGTCAAGGCCATGTCCATGTTCACTGGCACGAGCTCCCGGGGCGTTCTCACTGCGTCCACGGAGTGGGAGCGCGGATTGATGGTGCCCGGAGGCAGGGGTGCACGCGTTTTGGCACGCCGGAAGCGTTCCACTTTCTGCGGTGGACCAGCTCGCGGGATGGCCACACTGTCGCCGCTCGAAGCGGTGTTGGATGGCGTCGAGGCACCGGAAGCCGGAGCTGACGAATTGGAGCTGGACCTCAGCTCAGTCTCCAGATCACCCTGGAGACAGATGATACTCGCCGGCTGGCTGTAATCGATATTGCGGCGCGCTATTTGCGTGTGAGTTACTCCATCACGGTCGGTTCGTTGCAAGATATCAAAAGCCGGTGTAGATGCCTGCAGCTCTGAGTCTGTGGAAATGCGATCAGGGTCACTCTCGAATCCTTCGTCCAGTGACCGTGTGGGACTGAGTATGGGCTTTGAGCGAATGTCCAGCTTTGTGTCCATACTGGCCTCACGCAGTATCCATCAAAATCAATTTGCAAGAGTGGCCACTCGTGGTTTTCCCTCGATGGATCTCTGTCTTTTTCTCTGCCGCCGCGCCAATGAAAGTCCCCGCAAACGAGTGGGGCTGAGAGGTGTGGAAAAAAGTGCAGAAAGTCTCGGCGGAGCAACTTGAAAATTTATTGTCTCTCACTCTTTCTTTCGCGGTATTAATTTTCAATATCAATTAACACAGCCGAAAGGTAAAGTAGAAGAGAGACTTGAAAGTGGCACGATGAATTCACCAAAAATGGGCACAAATTTGCCATAAATATTTCTCACTCCTCCTATCTCCGAAAATAAATCCAACTGCACTATTCTCTCTATCTTTTGTCTAAATTCACGATCTACGCACACATAAATTCTTTAGGACATCCACCGTCACATTCCTGGCCACAAGGAAATTTCACTACCAGGATTCCTTCGCGAGTCTCCGCGCTGAATCATCGCACGGAGGATAGCAACACTCTGTGGGTGATCTGGATGGGAACAGGTGCAGAGAAATCATAAAGTGCCTCACTCGAGTGATCGCCAAGCACTGACTCGGTTGGAAAGCCACACAAGACTGACTCTCGACGGGTGCGTCTGCCGACTGCGCTCCGCAATTTCCATCTCCATTTGGCTCTCTCTCTCTCTCACCGGGGGCCCACCGCGCCCCGCGCCCTCCCCAGAAGCATACCGGGCACGTACGAGATGAAAAAGAAACCGTGAAACACTTCACTGTTCACCTTTCTTTTTGATGACGATGATGATGATTTGAGGATTTTATCGTGATATACGGAGGTATGTTAAAATCACGCTCAAGTGTGCAAAGTGCTTCGCGCCACACAAATATACTGCAAGAGCAATTCATTCATTTTTACGAAGCAATGTACACTCATAAAATTCCTTTACTCTTTACGTTTACGGGATAAAAAACAATGCTATTTAAACTTTTAATAGCGTTTTGATAAATACATTTTCTTGTATGAATATGAATTTTTAAATTCCAATTGCAGGCATAAGCTTTTATTCCAGACTGATTATCAATTTACGTCGCTCATATTTCTTGACCCCTTGATAAGAAATTCACACTTTTGAGTAACTTATTAAATTCACAACCTTCTCGAGCTCAGTTCCAATTGTGGGTTCTAGTAGAGAACATATGTATTTTAAATCGAGTGAAATTCAAAGAAAACATGAAGACATTTCTTATGTTTTTTACCGGTATTGTCATTACTGTGGCTTCTCCTGAAACTGAAAGTAAGATGAGGAAACTGAAAATTAAATACACCGAATTCATTGTGTGTAATTATGTGATTTTATCTCCAAGAAAAAATATTCTGCACTCATGGAAAATGGTCACACTACCGCAGTGGCAACGGACAATTCGGGATTGACCAAATTGACCCTTCACTCTGCACTCACTTGATTTATACTTTCTTCGGGATCAATACAGATGCAGAAATTGTAATAAGAGACACTTGGTTAGATCTAGAGGATAATTATGGTCTCGGGAATTTGAAAAAGCTCAGTAAGTTGAAAGAAATCAATCCTAATCTTAAAACATTGGCTGCCATCGGTGGTTGGTCTGAGGGAACAGAAGCGTTTTCTAAAGTAGCCAATGATCCAGTGAAGAGAGGAATCTTTGTGAAAAATTGTATGGATTTTGTGGAGAAATATGATTTCGACGGATTGGACCTCGATTGGGAGTACCCAGGTCAACGTGACGGCAACAAAACCACAGATAAAGAAGCCTTCACACTCCTCGTGAAGGAGTTGGCCACCGCTCTACACTCTAAGAAGTTGCTTCTGACAGCCTTGGTTGCTCCTGAGCGATATAGTTTCAATGTAGCCTATGATATACCACAAATAAGCAAGCATCTGGACTTCATGAAACTCAAAACCTATGATATGCATGGATCTTGGGGTTCAAAAATAGGCAACAACTCACCACTGTATGCCAAAGCTGCAGAGAACAATATGGAAAAACTCATGAACATGCATACAGGAGTTTTTGACTGGATAAACAGTGGTGCACCCGCAGAGAAGCTCATTGTGGGAGTTTCCACTTATGGTCGAGGTTTCAAAATGATCTCACGGGATAAAAATACTCCATTATCACCTCATGGTGGCGCATCCGAAGCAGGTCCGTATACGAGCGATCCTGGAATGTTGGGCTACAATGAACTCTGCGAGAAGCGCTTAACAGAAGCGTGGAAAGATCACTGGGATGAAGAGCAGATGGTCCCCTACACCACTAGAGGCGATCAATGGATCGGCTATGAGAATGAAGAGAGTTTGAGGATCAAGGCGAGATATATTAGGATGTATAAATTAGGAGGAATTATGGTAGCCAATATCGAAACAGATGACTTCAAAGGGTTTTGTGGTAGAGGGAAATTTCCTCTACTGAATGAGGTTAAGAAGGCATTGAAAGAAAAAAGTCCATATGCTCCGAGAGAAAGAAAAGTTTGTATCAATACAATAAAATTCTCATAGAATATGATAACTTTCCTTATACATACATATAGGCATGATTTAAGAACCACTTGTACCTTGGCTAGTTAAGTGACAACAATGTGGAAAAGGAAATGAGGAGTGCAACATGACATTCCCAGCGTGGGTTAACAGTTTTTACTGGGCGAATCAGTGAGCAAGTCTTCTTCCGACCGAGCTCTCCATCCTCTCTCTATTCCAGGGAGATATGGCGCTACAGCTTGTGCTTAAGATGCTGATGGCAATAAGTGGTTAAATTTGAACCTGTGTGAAATTCTCTGGTGAGTTTGGAGATAGCTATGGCATTTGATGGTTATTTGATGTTGGCCAATTGGCGGGACGGTGAATGAGGAAGTAGAAGTGAATGAAAGCCAGTTTAGCAACTCGCTCTTGCGTCTTATGTTGCGATGGCGAAGAATCATTTCGAATAGCGACTCGGTGGTATTTATTGTCTTGAAATTTTACGCGAGCAAAATGCACGAAAAGAAAGTAATTAAAGTCCAAATGATGTAGGTCGATGTCAAAAGCTCCGGGCGTTTCTTCACGTCACCACAATATTTTTGCCAACAAATAAAATCCATCACATTTGCAACAAATCGACAAGTACGCTGATGGCTCTCTTTGCCGATGAAATTGGAGAGGAGTGACCGTAGATGAAAAAAAAATAATGTGCTCATGTTCAATTTGAATTTCAAATTTGACAGTGAGGTGAAGAAGTGTTTGAGTGAAGGAATCGATTTCCAAATAACAAATTTGAAATACTAATCTTGGTCAAATATTTAATCAAATATTGTCGAAATTGTGTCGCTCGCGATCTGTAATCTCATGTCATCAAGGCTCTTTTTTGCCTCTATCAAACACATCGTGTGTGTGTAATTCTAAAGTCCACTTTTCCCATCTCCTCTCAAATGCCACTTTCATTAAATATTTATTATAATACAGCCATATTTCATCGTGAGTCCGATGAATTGGACAACTGTCCAAATCTCGGTAACAGATGAAATAGAAAACCCTGTTATTTATGGTGGTAGAAAGTGTTGCAAAATCCTATGCTACGGCCGCTGAGGTAAAAAGCGATCACTATTATCAATGAATTTCAGCCACTGTAATTGAATAGAAATCGAAATTTTTCTGCGAGAGGCGAGCCGCCCACGAGAAATCGACTTTGCTGGATTTCCTCTATTTTTGCCCATTACCAGAGAGAAGAGTGAGACGTTTCAAAAATGATAGTTGAAAATTATGTAAAAAATGTATTTTTGTAGCGAATTTTTTTTTTTGTTATCAGAAAGGGAAACTTCAAATGGAAAGTTTTGAACAAATTTAGCATATCCGTTGCTAACGAAAACGAGTGCTAAAATTTAGCATTTCCAGTGGCAAAACAAGATCATTAGATAAAGTTAAATGATACTTTTTACCATACAAAACATTCATCTTCAAAATCGCCTTTTTTCAAGAACAACCTTTTGCATAATTAATTTATCTAGTCCTTCTCTCTTCATTGAGACATTAACTTCGAAAGATTTATGTTTCCGAAAACGAAAGAAAACTTGTCACTGAGTTGAAAACGTAGAAAGCTGCAGATTCAATCTTATGTATCCACACATTCATATAATGATAATGAGATGTTCAGAATTTAGTGAGGAATCCAGGTTCATCTTCCTTTTTTATATAATGCTTCAGAGAATGAATATAAAATCGTCAACCTACTTTACATGTTTTCTGCGTGGAAAACATATTTAGAAAAAAACTCTTTTTTCTAAAGAACAATAATAATCGCCAATTATCTCAGCAGAAAGTTGGCCTAAGATGCCACTCATTCCCGCTTGATGTTTTGCAAGACGAAGATTTTCCCAATAATACAGCCATACATCACAACTCACCACTTTGCAGGTGCAATTACCTGAGGATTTTTTGATAATTTACAGCGAAATTGAACAATGCTGAGAGATGTTTATTGATGAAACTCGGTGGCGTTCAAAATATTGATGTATATTCAGGTGTTTCATGGTGTTGCTCACTGTTTAACGTTCCTGCGCGAAATTGCTCAATTGACGTCGAAATTGTTCTGTCTTCTCTTTACTTTAGACAAAAAAAACAAACACTTCTTTTTATCACGAGAATATATTGTGAGACATAAAGTGATGGAAAATTTCATATATAATGTTTTACGATTCGATATCAAAAAGAGGTTTTGAAACATTTTCAGAGAGGTTTTTATAGACATTTCTATATTCAACAAGTACTTACATTTGTTATTGTAAAAAGGCACTTGCTAATAGTATTCTTCTGGTCACTTGAAGAGAGTGTGAATGAAAATGATCGATAAAATTTTGATTTGCGAATTTTATAACTTCCTTTTATTGCCAACCCGAATTATATAAGAATCGTTTCAAATTATATTACCCCTCTATATGCATTTATAGAACCGCTTTATTACTTTCTTATTAAAGATTTATGCAGCTTTTTTTTACTACAATTGTCCAGTTTTACTCATGAAATAGCGAATTTCTTTTTCTCTATTTCTGCAACATATTTTCACATAAATTATGTCTTACAAGCAGTTTCTTCTCATATAACTCCCTGTACATTTCCTTTGTATATATTTCCTTAAACGTTGATAACGATTAAGGTTTCTTGTGCAATTTTCCACTATTAGAGATCTCACAGTGGTGTCATTATAGGGAATAGAGAAAAACTTTGGGTGTCTGAAACTTTTAATTCATGGTAATTTGTTTTTGCGATGATGAAAATTCACTGAACGACATTTAATGTATGATTTGAATTGCTTGATAATGTTTATGAGTTAGTAATGAAGAAAAACTGAGATGTCTCTCGAGGAATTATAGCTAGAGAAAAACAATGGAAATGGATATATCGACACTTATCAAGTGAGAGTAGAAATGTCTGAAGTAGAAAATGTCTCTGCTCTTCTTCCATTTTTTTTTCATTTCTTTCGCTATTGCTGTTAAAGAAATCAATGCCATTTGCAAATGGGCACAGCAAATATTATGGCAAATGCTGTTCAATTTCTTTTTAATGTGTGTTAAGATATTTTTTTTAAAGAAAATATTGCTTAATGCCTCGTGTGATCATCATTGACGAAATATCAAGTGTTTATGAAGAGCGTTGACAAATATTGTTTCATGTTGTGAACTATTTTAAATTTCTGGAATCTAACGCAGATACACAAATAATCCATAGAGTGGAATAAGTTTGCAATGCTATGAACGAAGCCTTGTGACTTTCTTCACTGCTTTATCGTCAAAGTGACCATCCCCGTAGTCTATTGCAATTAATGTGAGACACCTCGTATAAAACTCTCACAGCCGCAGGGAGAATTTTACCCAAGTGCCAGGTGAAATGTGATGAAAAATGTCTCCATGGAGAAAAACGCATTGAATAGCCGGAACTTTTACTGCTGCTGCATGGTGCTTTTTCTGTTTATGAAATGCCTAGCAAGAGCGATTAGAAAATTGTCACACATTTGATGTAATTACCCTGTCGCTATGGGAATGCATATATATATGTGATGATCGATATGACGAGGAAAGAGAATCACCGTTTATAAGATCGCCAAGCTGTGGCGTGATGGAGTGAAATGTGCAAGTGATAAACGGTGAAAAGCGTCGCATTTCCTGGGTGAAAAATACACCGGTTGATGGCAAATTGGATCATTAATATGATGCATAAGAGTTGAGTGAGGAGTGTACGATTGAAAGTGAAATTAATGCGGATAAATTGCATAATTCCACGCTATTATTTAAATTACCAATCGAGCACGCCTTCCATGGCATAAGGAAGATCTTCAGCTAAAACAAATCATTTCCATCCATTAGATCCAAAATTGTCCGGCACATTGGTCAACCAGTGAATCATCCAATGTGATGAGATCCTTATGTAATGGATTATAAAATTCTCTCTAAGTCAATCAACGCGCGCGATCTTTTGCCTTTTATTATATTGATGAAAGGCGAGTCTGTTGCACCTGATCTGTGAGTGGCTCTTTGATTTCTCACTCTTTCACCAAACTCAACTCACCGTTTGTTCAATTGCAAATCAACCTTAATGCTAGATGCCAATCTCTAACCAGACCGTGAACATGGCCAGAGCTGATGCGATATTTATTTATTCTTCAATTCAACATGCAAAAGCTCTGAAGAAATATCAATCAACTCCGTTTCTCGCCCTCCTGCTTTGCATTAAATTCCTTGACCCTGTCCCAGCTGTCGTGGCGTGCATCATCACACCACCTAGTTGTATCCAGTTTTGTGTACAAATACACCTACTGGTAGTGTGAATAGTGAATACAGGTGGAACTCCAAAATTTACATGACACCGTTCATGATAATGATACAATTTCAAAATTCCCTATTTGTACTATTTCGTCGTCTTAACTAAATATACTCAAATGAGTGTTTTCAGATAAATACAGTTTTACGACCATGCGAGGATCCAATCCAAATTGCTTCGACAAACATAAACAATCTTTTAAATAATGACACAATTAAACTTATACATAGATTATCATGCAGTAAACCTAATGGAAAATATATTTTCTGGTATATAATATTTTTCCATTAGATATTCGCTGATTAATCGGAGTACCTCACAAGTAGTTGTGGCCTCGTGGTCAACTGGGCTGAGGATCGTCAACTGAATAATAGTGCGATCGATGCAGTTACAATTGCGGACTTCAAGATCATCGTGTTGCCGAAAAAGAATAGGCAAACGGTGCATAGTAAGATAGGAAAAAGAAACATATTTTTCACTCACATTCAAACAGTTAGCATATATAGTGTGTGAAAATCATGAGTGAAAAATAATTTTGCGAGTTCATTCCACTCTAATATCTCTTCTTCGATAAATTGATTGCAGGGATTGTGCGCAAATCACTAACAGCACTCCCAATTCCAAACAGTTTTCTCACACAATTCCACAGAGATTAATCTGTGTCAGCTAAAAATTGGCCATAATGTCTCTATTTGTCGTCGCCTTAGTATTTTCGCTACTTTTTTTGGCCAACATCCAGAGAGTGCCCAATAAATTCAACATTCATCGAGGTGACTTTGAACATATACTGGTTTTTTTCTCTGTTGTTCTTCCAGTAGATTCTCACGCGTGAAGTGCGAGATTCTGCATTTTAGCTTCTATTTCATATTTATTCATCGAGAAATTTACACCGTGGAAGAATTCAATGAGAATGCCAATGGAGACATGGAAGTTGAGAGAGAATTTGTGCATATAGAGACATTAGAAGAATTTTAATTTACGACCCATTATGAAGAAATGCATAGGAAATCGAATTGCCACGGCGAGATCAGTCAAGGATCGAGTGATGTGTTTATTGAGCTGCTTTCTTGTTAATCAAACTGTTCTTCTGGGTTTATCCATAAAGAACACAAATTGAGTGGAGAGACGATTAAATTGGCTCTCAGGGTAGACAATGTGTGGATGCCAGGAGGGAGAGAAAATGTGTATTTTTCTCGTTTAATGATTATATTTATTAATTTACTACTGAATGGACTCTGAATTTGAGAATAAATCGCGATTTTTACAATTGCATTCAAGCTGCAAAGGTGACAAATATACTAATATTCTTCCTTGAGTCAAATTGAATTTCAATAAAGAATATACAGTCGAATTCGTGTCAGGGTTTGTTCAAAATGTCATCTCAATACTGCATGAAAGAAAAATTAGTTTTTATTACTTTTTCAAAAGTACAACAATCTTAGAGTCACTTGATCATGAGGAATAAATCAAACTATTACGAAAAAAGTATAAAATAAATATGAAAACTATTAGAGGACGATGTGAAGGATTCCTCTATTATTTTTAGTGGGTGGAGTATTTCACCCTTCAGTGACAAATGTGAGATCAGAAATGTGCTTGTTCATCGATCACACCTTACCGACATCTTCCTTTTTTGCTGCCGCATTCAAGCTGAGAGTGTGATTATCTCATTCCAAATCAAATATTTTTCAGGCAAAATTAATTTTATAATATGTAAATTCTTCACATTGTATAAATATATTTTTTCACGTCTGCTTCGCGCTGACGCTTTATTCAAAGCGAGAGACGAAAAATCACCTTATTTGCTTAAGTATCGCGATGCGGCAATTATGTCATTAATGTGATTTTTTGAGAGAAGAAAGATGCTCGTCTCAAAATTTATTAGCAGTCGTCACACGACTTTGACTCAATTCCCACTTCATGTAACATCGAAATGCGCCATGTGACAACTATCGAGGTTACTCAAAAGTAATTCACGAGATTATTCAAAACTCGCTTAAGCGAACCATGATCGGAATATGTATGTATGTGCGAATTTCAATTGGTATAAGTTGAATTATTTCCATACATAATTCCAAATGTTTTCTTTGCTTTATTCAACGGTGTTAAAAATTGATTAGAAATTTTCCCAATATTCAGTGATTTCCGAAAACTTCTCATTGTTTCTGCAATAGTCCATAATCATATGCGTTATTATATAACATGCATATGCTTCATCTCACTTTATCTCATATTCTTTAGCCAAGACACACGACACAAACGTAGATGTGCTTCGGAACACAGAAAAAGCGACCGCGGAAGAATATTAATAATTTCATAACAAACTTTATGTAACTTCCCCTTGATACAGATGCACATAGTGAAAAGACATCAAGTTAGTTTTTATGTAACATGTGTTTATTGTATTTTCATGTTTAATTATTCCATTATATCTTGCTCATCTACAATCAAATACATAAATATCATATAGTTATGTTTTTTTCATACTCTCTTCACTATCAGCTAAACTGCATTTTCATCTCTTCTTTATATACTGCGCACTAAAACTTCAATGAATATTTCAATGGTTATTACATCTTATTTCTTTCATCAAAGGGTTAATATATTTTTTTTACTCTGTGTTTACTCATTTTTTTTCACCTCTGATTTCTCTCTCGTACAATCTTTTTAATGAATTTTCAAATTTTTGTGGGCAATTAAAAAGCATTTTTCATGTGAAACTTTTTCTCAAAAAACTAAAACAATAATAAAGTAGAAAATAAACTGGTAGAATGTCTTTTCCTTCTCATTGCCATTTGCATTCTCCATGAAATGTCTCTCTCTCTGCATTGGTTTTTTTTTTCCTTTCGAGAGGAAGTTAGAATAGGATTAAAGTTACATTTTTCTCCTCTTTTTTTTCGCCGCCATATCAATAGAAAAATCATTTTGACGTTGTCAAAATTGTGTTTCTCACTTTTTTGCAAAAATTGGTTTTTAAAAATTGAATTATTTCGTCTTCGTTACAAAAAATCTTGAAAATTGAATAGGTTTTCAGAAAATTTCTCCAAACACTTCCCCATGGATTTTTTTCTTCTTCTTCTTCAATATATAGGATATGGTAGTTTATCAATAGATATTTACATTTAGTACATTTACTGATTAATATTATTAGCATAATATACTTCATTTTGTCTTTAATTATTGTGTTCTGTTCTAACATTACTTTGTGTGTAAGGATAAGCACATTTTACACGATTTATCTCTGCTCTGCGTCTACTCGCAACTGACAAAGCTGTGTTTTCAGAAAGTTTTTTTTTCTTACTTCTTCATCTGGCTCTACAGCACATTTTGTTTTTTTTTACTCACAAAGATATTTGTTAGACATTCATGAGATCAGTTAGAAAGTTGTCGCATGAACCATTGATAAATCCAATCCAGAATAGTTGCATGATATATTGCTAGAGATTTTATCAAGTTTCTTACGACCAATTTCATAACTTATCACATGTTTCTCTACAAAAATTCTCTGTTCTTCATATCCCTTTACTTCAAAATTGTTTTATTCTCATCAAAAAAATCTATCATTACGATTTGACATGTTCACACAAAAAGAAGCACCCTAATAAATGTGCGAGAGGAATATTTCCGATCTTGGCAGCATATATTATCAATTTTTATCAATCTCTTACAGGGTGCTACTAAAATTCTATACCGAAGAGTGTCTCCACTCTCTTCCGCGTTGATCCTACAAAATGATCAGTCCTGTAATTCACTGGACAAAGCCGCGATAGAGAAATGGACTCTGATCAACAATTCACTTTAATACTCAATATCAAGTGTTATTGTGTCACTTTTTTTCTTCTTCAATCAATGTATTGTTTTTTGTCTGCTAAAGCCATCCAATATGTTTCTTTTTTTTTAATAATCTTTTGGCAAAAAGTGTCTCTATTTTGCATTATTTCCACTACATAACAAATGTCTCATATATGGATAAATCCAGTCTACGATATTAATTGACAGAAGTTACATAATTAATTCATTTCTCTCATCATTTATCAATATATATTTAGTGGTGTGTGGCAATTCAATGATGTGATACACTAAAATATTCATCATTCATTTCAAATATTTAGTATAATGTATAGTTTGGTTATTTACAAATCGAACAAGTCAACGAGCTCTCCCTCCCACTAATGCCAACATCTTGTTGAGAGGCTGTGACATCTACGATGCCATCCTACGGCTTGCCACTACTTAGCAACAGCAAGGAAAAAACAACGAGTGCTCCAAAAATTACAAATATATCAACAATTCGGTGAATTTTCTCGCCAATCGTCAATTACGAAATAGTGGGTGCCGGAGGAAGAGCTCTTGCTGCGTGACTGTCCGACTTTGAGGCCAATAATACTTCTTTCAATTATGGAATTATATGAATTACAGATTTTTTTTTCGCATGTTACTCCTCTAAATACGTTTACTTACAACTTTACAAGTTAAGTTACATGTTTGCTCATTGTAAAATATGTTCTTCTCTATTCTTAAATTGTTTTAATGTATATTCTTCTGATTATTATGTTTTTTTTTTCTTTTATATATAAATTTGGTCTTGTGTTTTGCATCAGCATCTCAATTTTCAAGTATAGCCTTTACACACCCCCTTTGCAACTTTCCTTCCCACATTATTCTGTCACTTATGCTCTACTTTGGGGAAAATGTGAGATTGTTTGATTGCAGTTGTAATGTTGTTTACTAAGTACGTCCTCAGGTCAAAACTTTCACGATTTGCACACCCTTAAAGCAACCTGAAGACGCACTGCAATGCCTTTCTGTCAACCGTGTTACTGTCCAATAGCCTTATTCAATTCCAATATCCACTTTCATTCACTTTCGTTGTTGTGTGTATTGTGTTCTATTTCAATTCTTGCCATCTTTTCGCTTGTCGTTAAAAAAATAGATCAAACTCTTTCTTAAAATAGTTTATGCTTCTCTCTCAACATTTGTCCATAAACAACACATTCAAGTAATTTTCATTTTAGGTGTAGTTACAACACACAAAGAGTGTATGTTTATCAAATCAAACATTTCTCTCATCATTAGAGTGCCTATTATGTGCTTCTTGGTTCACCATACAAGTTTGGTAAGTCCTCTAGAGATACATATTTTGACAAAGAAAAGAAAAGAAGAAATCTCTCTTGTCAATAGAGCCATAAAAAAAAGGATCTTCCGAAAAATAATTCATCCTACCAAACTACAGTGAAGATTTACTCACTTTAGTCTAATGCAAAGCTAGGAAGTCTAGTGACACACTGAAACAATTAATTGCTATTTGTGCAATTCTGTAGATTATTTCCAATACCTACACAGACATGCAATTTACATGAAAAGCGCAAATTACTCTTATTACTTTTGCGTCCCGCTCGTTTTGCATCATTATTCTTGAATACTCATTGATGGCGTCTGAATGCAAAATAATCATTGCAGTGTAATGAAGTTCGACAATTTCTAGTACACAAATAACTACAATTAGTGTGAAATTAGCGTTGTCTTCATTCAAAACATTGCATTTCATCTTCATTATTCATTAACGCTTTTATCATGCTTAATTACTTTGTCATCCGTTTAAAATACTTTGCATATCTTTATCATGTCCTCAAATTGACCAAAATATATTCTCTATATAATCTCTTTTTTTTCACCATTTTTTTTCATCATCTAATGCAGCATTTTGAGTTTAGGATTTACAATCAATATGTCAATCTTAGAATTCTTTATCATCAGAAAATATCATCTATCTTGAATTCAAATGCATTTTCTGTATTTCATTCAAATTGTATTAAGCTTCTTATATTTTTCTTTTGTCATCTTGCTTTGGGTTTTAATGGGGGAGGAAATCCCTGAAAAATTTTCATCATCACCACTTGTATGTTTTGTTGTCTTGCCTAATGTTTAAACATCACAATATTTCACTCTACTTTATTTCTGGTTATGTTAAAACACCTTCAATGTTGAAATTTAGAAAAAATAAATTGTGAATCTCTTCCACTACGCAAGATTTCTCCTCTTTCGCCTGTGTTCTACTGCATACTTTTTTTTTCTTTTTACGTCTGTCTCTCAAGTAGCATCAGGTCTTCTCCATTTAGTTTAGATTTCTGAAATAGTTTCACTACATTTTCTGTATTGCTCCACCTAAACGCAATTTGTATCACATACATTTATAAAAATATATTATTAATATTTTAATTAAAAAATATACTATTAACAAATCATTTTTTAATTCTCCTTCGATTCACCCATCTAAACATTGCAAATATTCTCCATCTCATCGCCATTTCTCTAATCAAAATTCTTTTTCTTTTTTTACTGTCTTTCATCGTCTCTCTCGCACATTCGTGCCAACTTCTAGCAATCATTCCTTCAATACTTACAGAACTGCTTTCCTTAATGGCTATCATGAATATTGTTCTACTTTACACAACTTATATAACTTTTAATATGTACTTAAGTTCTCACATCATCAAGATATTTCATGTAAATTATGATGGGTTGTTTTCACAAAGAAATAATTATTCTTAATGACTCACTAAAACTAATGAATTAAAAAAAAGTTTTTAAATAAGAAGATTTAAGGATAAACTATCTGACTGACATTCTTTAAACAAATGCCCAGCATTCAAGGGTTTTTACAACAAAGTCTTCCTGCGGCGCCAGTGGTTCATTTCCATACGTCGAACAGTGCTGTGATCGTCCCTGGTTGAGATCACCATCCAGCCATAGTCCAAATATTCCACTGCAAGCACAACTCATTAATTACAGTCTCTACAGAGATATTTAAAGGAATTTAAAACTCACTCTCCAGCTCCTATCGACAGACTCTCTGGATTGCCTTTGATGAAATACAAATTTTCACCTGTCCAATGAAAGACTTTGAAACTGGGATTGAATTTGTACAGTAAAGATTCACCGGTGCCGTAGAAGTGATCCGAAACATGCAGAGAACATGAAGTCAGAGCTCCAAACACCTGCAAAACGGCGCCAAAATATACTCTTGAGTTCTCTCACGCAGTAGAAGATTTACACATTAAGTACATACATTATTTCCTGTGTCTTGTATCACAATCAATATGGGACTTTCGAGCCTGTGCATTTTCCGATAGAGAGAATTGAGTGAGAAACCATGTTGTGAAGTACTAAAGACCAATGACCACGAGTATCCTTCTGCACGAGCAGGAAGGTGACCGCATAATTTTTCCCTGAAACAAGACGGAAACATCAGCACTCGCAAATTCAAACACATTAAATTATATACTATTAACTCACCTGTGTTCCTCTGTTAGAATTTCAGTTTGTCCAACTAAATCCGGGATGGGGAATTCAAGATCAAATGAGCCAGTCGGAAAGAGCGCCGATTTGCGATAGTCATCCGCACTCATTGACAGCACCTGTGAATTGTTGGCAGGAAAAAAGTCAATCAATTAATGATATGTTCTTCAAATTACAATTTGGAGACACGGTGAAATCTAACAGAAAATGATAATTCAAACTAAAAAGTTTGCTACATTCATGTTGCAGATATTACAACATAAATAAGGTGAAACTAAAACCAGTGAAATTAAACTCTTACAAAATATAATAATACCAATTCACAATTTTTGCAAATATGTTTTACTCTTGATTTTCTCTGCCACATAAACGTAAAAATTTTTCATGTCTTTCTGTGTTTCTCTTTACGTTTTTTTTTTTTATTTATTTCTGTATGTATCTTAAGAATATTTTGCATAGATGTATAAGAAATGATCTTTTACGTCTTTTTCTGATCTGATATTGTGTTTCCTCTATATTCTTGTATGGTTTTGTTTCTGCAAATTTTGTGTTCCTATGGCATTTTGTCTAGATTGTGTATTTATTGAGAATCTCAATGATTATGTATATATATACAGAAATGTCATTAAAAAGAATAATATACATCTACTACACAATTTGTACTTTCTGCTCAATATTTCTGCCACAATCTAACAAAACAAAAAAACTTGTAAGTACCGAAAGAAAAAGGAAAAAGAAACATGTTTTTCCACAAATATAGCCAACATTCAAGTCATCTCAACAAGAACGCAAAAGAATCGATAAATGTGGAAGGTGAAGGAGAATTGAAAGAATAAGTTTTTATTTCACTTCTCAAAACAAAAACTGAGAAAAAAGGGAGTTTTAAAGTTAAATCACATTGAGTAATTTTGCATGGTTCAAATTTTCAGCCGATGTGTTACGCTAAGAGATCTCCGATTGCATTTGATTTGTACTTATATATTTTCCTCTCTTTAAGATTATTCACACCCCAAACCGTCAAATGATCGCGTCTGATCAAACTGACTCACGATTTACTATGGGATCACAGTGGAATTTTCCGGAATGCTATGATACATTTGTTTGAATGTAATACCTCTCTTGATTGTTTGTAATTAACATCAATCACGCGTTACAATTTATTTTGGCATTCTTTCCCTTATGAAATGCTAACATACATATACTATCAAAATGGTAATTTTCCCTATTAAATCACAGTATTTGTTGAATGGTCCACAAAATATCACCTCATGTCCAAGCAATGGATTAAGAAGTTCGCACATATTGTCAATTCTTTGTCTCCTTATAGATCACACAAAATTCCTCAAACACACACACTCAATTAATAATAATTAACAATTCTTGTCCAGTTCAATTCTGTCTCAAATTTCAATTGACCACAATTGAGTGATGATCACTTATTTAACGAAAATTTCGCCACTTGGCCTTAAGCCTCTTTCTGCTCTCTCTTTTCTTCTATCTCTCTCCCTTTCTCGAAAAGAAAATCCACGCACGCAGATGTGATCTTGCCGAACGCGTAAATAGAACTAACAGATCGCGTCTGCATCACATAGAATCTCTTCACTCCGTTCCACGTACAATTATCATTGAAACGCAAATTATATTCATACACTTTATCCACTACACAATGCCCCCACCCGTGGGGTTTCGCTTGTGTACAAAATAGAGGGAAAAATAGTAATCATAAAAAATATATACACATTTCCCCATGAGTGCACACAGGTGACTACTCATCACACTAAATGACACATCCCCCATCATTCCACCTCCCTCGCTCGCTCAACACACATCTCAATTTCTTGTACACACAGTTTCCGAGAATTGTTGTCACATCTCTCTCCAGGCAAAATTGCAGAGCAGAGGAGTGTGATATGTTGATGACATCGAGGAAGAATTCATGATTACAATATATCACCTGAGGCGGATTAATTTGGTAATCAGGTCTTAACGACAATATAATTTTAACTTCATATTGTTATTCCAAAAATAGAGCATTTTTCTCGTATATCTCTACGAAAGAGGGATTTACACACTGTAGAGTTTGTGTAAGTTCATTGCAAATACATTTTACAACGTTTATCCCATTTCATCTAGGTTAATCTACATATAAAAAAAATATATATATATCAGTCCAAATATTACGTGGGGCTTCGGAGATTGAATACCAAGTTGAATTCTCATGTAGAATCTACATTTACTTAAGGTTTTATTCATATCAACCTTAAGTGGGTTTTTGTATTTACACTCTGTCGGATATTTACAAAGCCACTCGTGTGACTACGTCTTTTCCAATTTATCTCAGACTTTTGACGACTCGAGACTTGCATTTGTACAGATCAGATAAGGTGTTATTAAAACATGTGTGTATATTCTTGAAGAAAATAAAAATGAAATTTCTATATATAAAAATAAAAAACAAGAACCTATAAATTACAAGCCGACCATTGGTATAAAATATACATACAAAAGAGAATGGAAAATATTGTTGGCACCATTCTGACTTTTCACAGTCGCTATCGATGTCTCGTGACATTGAAGGCCAAAAAATCAACACGCGAATTTGCATTTAAAAAAAAAGTATTTCGACGAATCATCAAACATTATAAAAATTGATTTGATTTGCAAACCAAATTTCTTGTTCATCGCTAAATCTAATTATCCATTTTAACAAATCACAACTTGTCGCATTTCAATACAAAAACAAATCTATTACTCTGCGCACGTGTCAAAATTCACTCTCACGTTCATCAACAGGAGAATTAATCTCAATTGGAATTTGCATACAGATGCAAAAGGTATCTGTAATTGCCACAACCTCGCATCAAAAATATTTATTTCCATTCTGGGCTATAATTTCATTGCTGGCTGTGCATAAAAATGAAAACATATCGAGGTATCTTACATTGAATCGAAAACGATTTTCATTTTTTAATCAGTGGTTTGCATATACACACATCGTTGTAAATGTTGCACATAGTAAAATTGTACAACAAAAAAATAAATATATAGATTGGGTGTGAGACTGCCAGATTATTATCTAAGAGCACAGGTAATTGCTAACAAATTGTAGTGTGGCATCTAAACAAAGAAACCTAGAATTATGTCGTTTTCTCAATTTATATATATTTTTTTAATTTTATAATGTAAGTCGAATAAGTTGTGATAAATTGTGTCACATGAATGAAACAGTTGATGTACCGAATTGAGATTGCCTTCATAGTCTTGGCGTGGCTCATATGAACCCACAGACCCCACATGAGCTTCACTCAGTGGCGGTGTTGGTGAGCGAATTTTCGCAATTGCTCGACGCGATCGCAACCAAGTTTGCCATTTTATATGGAACTCCGCTCCCCATTTCCTGGCGATCACATACAGCAAAGCACTGCCCACAATTGCGAGATAGAACCACATATTTTTGCACTTAAAGAACTCTTTTTTTCACTACTCTTTTTGGGACACAAGCAGCGATTGATTACGTGATCGATATTCACGATGGCGCTGAGGCAGAAACTGACTGTCATATGGTATGATGGAGAGGAAAAAAACTCCGATAATTCGCTCATTACAACGATGGGTGAGAATTGTGAGTGAGCGGGAAAGCACGTGAGTTACCAACACACTCTATAACGTGTATCAACAGGCCCACATTCAACCATCGCGCACTCATGTCTCTCTTTTACATTCGCTATCTTTGGAGGCACAAATCTCAAACACCCTACTTATTTATGACAACACTAGGCAACATATACAACCGGTGTGAGCAGGATGAATACGACGGCGCGTCTCAAATACAACTGAAAAATCAACATTTCCTTCTGTGAGAAAAGACAAAGTCGCAATTTTGCTCAGCTTGGTGTCGATAAACTCTCATTTAGCAACTAAACGCGAAAACACATGCTCCATTTGAATTATCGTCTCGTTTTAAATTCTGTCTGTGTATAAATGCAAACACAGATTCTGGCCTCGTGTGCACTTATTTTGATTATATGTAATTAAAAAAGAAACTTCTCCCTTATTTATAAAAGTGAATTTGCATATACTGTTGCAAGAAAAAAATCCCATTTGATCACACATTTCAATTTTGATTCGTGCAATTGAATGGCGTTCTGCAGACATTTCTTTCAGACGTAGAATATTCAATATTATAAATACATTCCCAAAACTCAGAAAAATAAATGCAGTGATTCAATAAAATTTCCATGAGTCGATAGTAAAAATTGAAAGTATGTATGATGTGAAACTTTTTCTTTAGTCAATCAATCAGGAAAATCTGACTCACTTTGTGCGCTCTGTCAATGCAAAGTTATGCACAGAAAACATTTCACAATTTGCATTTTCACAGCAATTGGCATGATTAGCGACTTTACTGTTCACGCCGTTTGCTGTTTTACAAACAAATCATCAACACTAATAATACTGTAAAATTCTTCAGCGTCGTGTGGTCAAAAGGGTCACAAACTTTCCGCTGAAATCGATGGCATTAGAAAGTTCGTCACGTTTGAAAGTTTTATATGGAAAATGTGACTAATGTTATCACTTTTTGCCCCCACAAATTTTTAATGTATTATCACTCACATTGCCGTAAGGTCGCATACGGTGTATCAGTGATCTAACGTCACTCTACCTCGATGCAATGACTCAAAAAGTTTTTGGGGCAAAAGGAAAAGAAGTGGCAAAACCGTGTACTCACTTTCCGGTAGTGTAGTTTCATGCGAGAAAAAAATCCGCTTTAACCGGTGTGTTAATTAAATAGAGTGAAAAGAGAGTGAGATTTAAATCAGATAATTTGTCAATTTGATATAAAAGAATCGAGGAAAAAAACAATTGCACGATCGCTAAACGCATAATTTCCTGAGAGCCATTCGCTATATATTAATCTCGCTATACTTCCCATATCTAGAATCGTGAGGTAGTCATTGGAAAAATTCTCTCTTTTTTTTCGGCACGATTCTAAAACCAACAATTGCATATAGAATAAGACTGAAAATTATCCATATCGTGAGGCTTATTTCATGATGCGGAAAAAAACCACAAACGAAATATCCGCGATTAACTTTAGCGAAATACTACAACGTCTTGCACGAAGCAAATGCAGAGTGACAATAAGTTTAGCAATTCCATGGCTCTCGAGTCACATTAAACTCACCGTTTTCTGTTTTCTTTTTTACCAATAGGGAAAGAGTCAAAGTTTATGAATGGAAATCAGAGGGAAAAAACGACACGTTTAAAACTCACAATACACACCTTCGTTTTGAGATACTTGAGAAATCTCATAGTTTTTGTTTGCTTCTTGCTCTTTTGACTCGTGATCTGTGCTTTCGACATGATGAAGAGCTCGCGACTATTTTTGCAAGCGGCCACACAAGAGTCACTTTCTGCCGCCAGAATCTAATTTTGGCCACTGAAAATAGCTTTGATTGCTGTTGTGTGTTCCACAATAGGGAGAAATTGTTTGTTTATTGAAATGTCTCTCCCGAAAGAGAACAACAACACTATTCACGTAATTTTGATTTATTTCTATGTCACTTTTTTTTTTAAAAAAACAGGCGGAACACCCAAAATGGATCGCGCGACGCTTTACTCCTCTGCAATTGATTTCTATTGAATTTTGCGAACTTGATATCACACAAGTAAATGACAATTTACAATCAATTGGCTCAATCGCATCTCGTTCCGTCACACTGCAAAAGCGATGTTGTACTGCTCCCGAGGTTCACTCTAAACTGCCAACCAGCTTCTTTCTCACCCAATTACAACAGTATCGTCCACAGAGTTCCACACACCATGCCATTCACCATATGGTCGGACGCATCGCGAGGCAAGTCAAGATTGACGACTCTCGAACACGGTTTGTTTATATTGGCCTAATACACTCTCTAAGTTCCATGTGACATTTCACTCCCATTTATTGCTCTACATAATTCCTAATGGATATTTCTGGAAATCATTCTCCATCGCCCCTTCACCACATCCACTCAATCCAATTCAATTCACACTTCTACCCTCCAGTCACATATTCACCTCTCAAAGCCACCCAAAAGTGACGAAATTCCCAAGTTATTGCCGTGCCATAACGACTGTTCACACACTTTAGTTTTTCCAAATGACGAAATAAACTTATAGGAAAACTACCAATATATTTGCAAATGAACAGGAGTTTTAGCTTTCTATGTGTAATATCAATAAATGCAAATTTAAATCAATGGAATGCAAACGGGTCCGAGCAAGAAATTATAATTCCTATGCTAAAAGTGTTGTGGGATTCCATCGAGGGAATTTGCCACGCACCAAGAGGAAAAATTCAAATTAGCAATGGTGCTCCTCTGCAAACCATCTTCCCCATCAACCTCTCTCTCTGACTGACTTGATCTACACTGTTTTACATGTTTCTCTTGTTCAATAAAAGTTCAAGGTCTCAGCTTTTGCACTCGTGGGTATATATTTTTTCTTTCTTTCTTCTTTTTTTTCGAAAAACCACCCAACGTTGAAACTGGTCTAGCGAGACACATAGAAATTCACCACAATCTTGCGCGATTCACATTAATTGGACACACAGGAAATGAGACTCTCCCACCCACTGTATTCGCTAAAGTGTCCATCCATTGACGCTGTTGTTCAACTCTTCAAAAGTGATGTGATAATACGCAAATGCTTTCCATTGTGTCCTGTATTATCAAATTTTGCTCAATTAATTTGCCTTTTTGTCACTGGATTTCACATGTGACAGACCTAAACATATGCACAAAAGGTGGAGACTCTGTGGCATCTGCTTAACATATTCCTGCTTACCTCAAAACAAACAACATATTCGTACGAAAAATAGTGCCGCACCATAAAGTTAAACCTAAATCTCGTCTATTTTCACAACGTGATTATCAAGTCTTCAATAATTGTTTCATATATCGTGTAATAATGTTTAAAGAGCGACAATTTATTTGCTGAATTTTGCAATGGAGTTTCAATTTCATAAAAATCATTTATCATATTTGAAAAAAACAAAGTCAAAGAATGAAGATAAAAATAAAATACTTCGATCAGTGCATCATTAATCTAACAACAAATCTAAACATATCTAGCACAAAGATTTCTCGCATTATGTGCAGAAATTATACATAGTTTGAGAATGGAAAAATAGGATATATTTATCAAGGCAAATAATGTATAAAAGAGAAAAAAAACTAAATCAAACTCGCGAAAATATTCTCGCGGAAAGTAAAGTAAAATACGATCCAAATATTAAAAAGCTAATCGAAAGTTGATTTAAATTTTCCAATGCGTCATACTCCAATCCCGTTGATTATTTTGTCATTTAAAGAAGAAAATTTAGTAGAAAAAAATAAGAAGAAAAATTACAGAGAAATGAAAGTGAAGGAAAATGTGCAAATCTAATACAAATAACACCTTCAAATATTACTTTTGATGCTTTTGATTAATGCGAATGATTTTATTTATAAATCGTTGGATGATTGATTTGTTATGAGGCGTTTCTGGATGATTCTGATAAAAATTTGTGTCTGCATGAGAGAAAGAAAACAATGACACGAAGTATGAGATCTTATGAGATGATAATTCAAAATAAAAAAATGAAAATCTCTTATTATCTGATTATGATGAAATTCATAATATTTTATCACGAAAAATATATCTACGATCTCAATATATATTTTTTTGACTGATATTAACAAATCATCAAGCAATTGCTCTTATGAAAAATTCACTGCAAATTATTCTGCTTTTTTTGGGATTTGACTAAATTTTGCATGTCCTAACCTCAACACCCTCCAAATCGTTGGATCCTGTTTGACTTTTGATAATATTGAAGATTTTAACGTAGGGCGCCTTAAGCAGCTGATTTTGTAATGTAATAAAATTTGTAAGAAATAATTTAGTTAATACAATTTTCAGATAACTAAAAAATTAAACAGACACAACAAAATAATCTACATTTGATTATATTTTTTAAATATAATCTCTATCACATCAACACTATCATTTTGTAAATGTTGTTTATTTTAAGCTTAAATCTTGTCTCTCGCTCTCTCTCTTTCTCTCTTTTCCGTAGGAATTGCACTCGTTTTCTCCTCTCTTGCATCATCCAAACATCACAATAAAAGGAGAATGGATTTAAAACATCTTTTTTTTCGCTTCATCTCATTCTCAATCGCCTTGCATCCAACTTTGCCCTCAATTGAACATTTAAACACTATCATTATTGCTACTACACGTTATAAACGGAATTCTTGAGTATTAATTGTTTGTATAAAAAAATATCGAATGACTATAAAGCCACTTACCTCCCATGACTCTCGAGTTAATTCAGCAATGTCCTCACCATCACTATTGACTCGACCCTCCTGATTTAAGAAAGAGAAAAGACCCATATTTAATCCACTTGCCCACTTGATGGACGAGAGAGGGAATTGAGATTCACGTGAAACACTCTAAATACCTTGGAAACACCTCCTTGAGCCCATTCGGTGTCGTGCTGAATGAGTTCATATCCACGTTCAGCCACTTTCTCCTCATTCAGCTCACCATACAAATGCGGAACCCAGGAATTCAAAAATCGAAATAGTTCATCGACGCTGTGAATAAATTACAAAAGTCTTCATTTAGGCAATAATTTACAAAAATTGAAATAATAAAAGGCAACTGACCGATTTTTCGGAATGCTGAACCAATATTCGGGTCGCAACTTATTCTTGCCATACGACATGACTGAAGTTGGTAAGGGCACCGACTTCCCAAGTGGTCGGCCCATTCTTAATCTCAAGTACAGCGGCGGATCCGGACATGCGCGAGCTGGCCGTGGAATCAATTCTAGAAGAAGCGCAATTAAAACAACAGACAACACATTAGTCATCCAGATCACATGAGGAAGTCCATCATATTTGCATATTATTGCTCAACAATGATAAGTTCGGAAAGAAAGGTGTATAAAAAAAAAACAACCATTCATAGATCACATCTCTATGAATACATCGGTAAAGTCATACATTTTTTTCTCTTTTTTTTGCTCATCACAGTACCAGACATCTAAAGCAAAGCTATAATTGAATTAGGAGAAAACTATACCAACGATGACACAAATTACTCACCATAGAGATGGCTAAAAAAATAAATATCAACATTGGGTGCAATAACAAACCTGGGACAGAAAACGTCTATTACCAAATGAGAGCGATGGTGTCATAGTCGCTTTTAGGAAAAGCAATTAAACAAATTTAATTTACCATCACATGATGACCATTTTTGGGATAAAAACTCAAATTAGAAAGACAAATGAAATTATCACACGTGATTAACATTGATGATATATATAGAGCAAATGTGTAAATTTATACGGAATATCGTCACGAGAGTGAGTTTTAGGAGACACAAGAAAATTATTATAATTTGTAACTTGTGAAACTTGCACAATTGTTCGAAATGAGACAAAGAAAAGATATGGAAGATACAACACACGCTGATGGAAGGAAAGAAAATGTGTACAGAAACACTGTAAAAATCACTCTGGAAATATGTATTACCAAAAAACAAAGAGAGAGAGAGATAGATAGAAAACACTTTTATATGCTTGAAGGAGGAATTAGTAAGAGGCAAAAGTAAAAAAAAAATGTGACAGAGTAAAAATATAGACAAACACTCTTTATCACTTTAGTTAGGTGGAGAATATTTTGAAATATGTTTCTTTTTTTGGTATTTCTGTTGGAATTAAGTGCAAGACACGAAAAACCTACCAAGTTGTTCAAGTTGTGGAAACAACGGAGCCCTCACTAGAAGATGGCATTGTGCTTTAATTAGTTATCATTCCTCTTAACAATTAAATGTCTTATAATATAGAAAAATATCAGAAGAAAAGAAATTAAAATTAAATGACAAAAAACAATGAGAAAAAATGCAAACTCCTAAATGTAAAACATTTCCAAGAAGAGATGTAATGAAACTAAACATAAAAAATATAAAAACCGTTCCAACAGACAAACGCGACACTTGATAAACAGCAGAAACTCTGAACCCATTTTACGATTTTAAATCATGAAAAAGTCCTGAGATATCTAGACATGTAAATATACATAATTCAATAGTTAGAGCTGTTTATAGTTGTCCTGTTTTCAACGGACACAGTCTTTATAACTGTATTACAAATTGATTAATGACACAAGTGCACAATTTGAGGCTGTAATTGAAATTTCAAAATAATTTTACATTTCACTGTTTCCCCAGACATTTTAAATTACCCGAAACATTGCTGAATCATAATTAGAACACTCACTGTAAATTTCCATATATATATATACAGTACACACTCAATTATTGTTATTTTTGAGAGTGTGACCATTGAAAATATAATAAAAGCACGTTCATCAGGAAATATTCAGTGTAAAATTCTAAAGTTTTTTTTTCCTGTTCTGTTTTTACTGTCTGTGAATTAGAGCAAATAGCAATTTATTTACAGCCATTCATTGATCAAATGTTAAAATTTCAATTTCGACCTCTTTTTCAGTAAGATATATATATAAAAAAGAACATTACATGACGCACTTGTAAGAAACACTATAATAAAATTGTGCATCACCTAAAGAGCTGTGCGCATTGCATCTAAATTCAACAAGTTAACTCATTTTGTATTATGCACAAATTGTGTAAATTTAGGCAAACACAAGTTCTCTGAACTTTGAACATGTTTAGAGAGAATGTGGAACAACTAACAGATCAACTGTATCCAATAAATCAACCAAGGAACTTCCTCACATCTGAGAGTTGTACTAAAACATGAGTGCAGTAACAAGAGACAAAACTAATTGCCAAAATGAATAACTTACTGTCGAAGCTGACAAAGAGTTCCGGCATGTCGTCAATTGAAACCATTGATCGATAATCCAGCTTCGGCGGTGGTGCTTTGCTGGATTTATGAGATGACGGATGAGAAGACTCTGAGGAACTCGGACTTGGTCGTATGAATGTTCCAATTGATGAGCGTCTGTATAAAAGGAGAGAAGAGAAATCAAACTTAATGCATTATCTACTTGAAGTTATCCAATATACATTCATATTTATATTTAATAGAGATTTACAGGAAAAATTATGAATATTCTATATATATATATTTAAAAGTTGCACAAAAAAAGAACACAAAGTGACACATAATATGTATAAACAGAAAATCCACTGAGAAATAGATATTGAAACATTCATCATCAATTCATTTTTCCTTACCCGGGGGTACCTTGCCCCTCGTGTGGTGTCAATGGGGGAACTGGGGAGCCCCCAGAATCTTCGGATGGTGTTTTCGACAAGAACAAATTTCCACCCAATTCCGATACTAAAGTTATTGGGGAACTACATATTTTACGTGTCATTCCCATGGAGCACGCGATATTAATTTGTGTGGTTTGTGTATGAAAATAATATGGGAATAATAGCAGATAATTGAGTGTTTGTAAATTTAGGTGTATTGTGATGAAATATAGTGTGATGGTGTAAATTGCATTTTTTTTTTAATCCATTGGTAGCATAAAAAATTTTGCAAAAAGGATCTCATCAATTATTTTGAACGTAAATCATTGAACAAGTTTTGCAAGAGATATTTCTTCTCTGCATTTTTTTTTATTTAATTGAAAATTAATATATAAAATATCACCTCACGTGCAAATTATTAGTGCAACAGACTTTTCTCATTTACCTGGAGAATACTTTAGAAAATACACTCTGACTGGAGTCACCAGTGTTTGGTGCTGACTCAATCGATTCAGACTTATTTCCTTCACCAGTGAGACCTTCCACCCACGCCAGAGGATATGACAATCGCTTCAGCATCTACAAAACAGATTGATAATGATAATACACTTGGCCAGGAAGTCACTCAAGTCATTCATCAACCTTGTTCTTCTTATCACCCGTTCTGTCCGTGGCCTGATGTTCGCTATCTTCCACGCTAAAGCTCACACTTGACGTCTTCTTGCGCCCACTCTGGTCAAGGCTGTTCGACTGCATCGTCGATTGGCCACTGATCACCATCTGCCCAGATCGTGGTGGGCTGTCAGTGAAATGGGATGATGCAATGGTCAGCGGTGGCACCCAGTCTGAACTGAGAACAATGTCTGCATCGCTGTACACCTTCTTCGTAGGTATCTGCTGAACGCCCGGCAGTGGCAGTGAATTGGGATCACGAATGTCAATCCCTGAATCATGGCACGACAGTTTGACGAGCTGCTGATCATCCACCTCCTCATCGGGCTGACTAATCATTGGCTGTGGCGGTGGGATCGATGCCACTGTCTCGAGACTCTCCTCAGCCAGGTCATCCTCATCCTCCTGAGATCTTTGACTATTGGAATGACAATATCTACTTTGATACAACGCCCAACAGGATGTATTGGACGAGGAAGAAAAATAAAACGATCACCGATTAAATGAGGTTCTTCAATTTTATGATTAATCCATTTCAATTAAGTTAGAATCTCACTGTCCTAACTACGTTATCCCAGAAGCATGCAATGGATAATACAACCTTCCCGCGCGACTAGCAATTCCAATTCGGTGTTAGTTTTCATTTTTCTTCACTCCTCACTCCCCAACGTGAATTGTCCTAAAAGCACCGTGATAGCCAACAATGAATCACGCTACCGCTATTTACCTATCTTTGCTGGGAATGGCCCAATGGTGATCCAACAGACTCTTTCTGCGCTCCTCCAGACTCTTCATCTCACTCGTCATCACATCAAGTGTCCCCTCTTCGGCCTCCTCAGCCTCATCTTTATGGTCATCAGCTGCAAAATACATTTCAGCGATTACTCAATATATTGCACACAGATTTCAGAGTACATTTTTACTGAAGAGCACTTTTACTGAAGTGAATAAAATGTTATGTCTCCTAGAGAAAAGGACCATTCCTTACAGTTACAACTTTTATGACCACCCCTGTATTGAAGAAAAAATTTAGAACGCCACACTTATATATATATTTTTTATCTTGAGTGCGGTGAATGAATAAAAATTACACCGGATTCGGCAGAAATTCTTTCCATGAGTACACACATGAAGGAACAATTAAAAGATAAGGCAATGAAAACATTTGTACTGCCACTAAAATTGTGGGCGGCTGATATGGGAGAAAAGCGCCATGTGTGTGGATATTAAAAGTGAACTTCGGGTAAAGTTCTCTGAGATGTTGTTTACTTACGCTTGGCCTCTTTGGCTTCTGTGGATGTTGCTGACTCCATTGAAAGTGCCTTGGTTGTAGCTTCACGTGCATTTCTAAACTCTTCCAGTTGCTCAGCATGTTGGAGATTTGTCGGTGTCACAAGATCCCGATCGAATGCCTTGGGAAAAGCATCACCCTCGCGTCCATTGCTGGAGCACACGCTCTCCTGATCATCACAACCCTCTACTGAGCCCACACCCAGCTCTGGGAAGGTCTCATCCTTCACCAGCAGGGAGTCCTTCCCAGGTGAGTGAGTGCCTTCGTAGCGACTCACTAGAGGTTTGGGATAATACACCTCGGGCTTCTCGTTGCTCGCCTCATTGCCCACTCTCATGTGGGCAATATCATGAAAGATTGCTGCGTTGACAACCAAATCCATGGGTGCAATTACACCATAGCTCTCTGGGCCATGTTCAATCACCAACGGATCGGACACGTTGGGATCAAACATGACAGCATTGGGTGTCACGAGAAGAACTCCACCCACAACGCCTTGTCCATCAGTTATGTGTCTCACATTGATCTTGAGGAATCTCTGCGTGATCACAGGATCGTCCTCATTGTGTTGTCCATGTACGTTCGGGGAGGAGACTCGTTCGATGTGTCCCGGCTTTGGTGATCCTGGTCGTAAGCCATCAAGCAACTCTAGAAAGGAAAAGACACTTTAGTAAAATCAGGAAATAAGATGTAAAGCACATAAATATAATTCCTTCAATGATCAATCTAATAGAGTTAAACAACTTACAAAAACCTTCAAATTGAAAAGTGAATTCTATACAATAGCATATAAGGTAAATAAACTGGAGATATTTCTTAGAAAATATTTTATATCACATGATGGGAAAAATGTAGAAAAATCCGTATAAATACCTAGTCATTTTTAATCAAAGTCTACGGTCAAATCAGTTGTAGATATACAATTCACAATTTTTATGACCATTCAATTAAAAATCAATCAATACTGACTCTACTATCCTTCACATTATGAATACTTTAACGTACACGCGTATCGGCAATTCAATATTATTGATGTTTCCACAGGGAAAAACAAACATAGTGTAATGAAACAGGTGGATTATATCGATGAGTGTGTCAATTATGTTGGTTACCGATTGAATAAAATCTTACCACCAGTCTTCTTAAAAACCGCCGTAAACATTATAGATCCATGTAATTACTCGCCGACAATAATTTACTAATTTCAAGAACTAATGCACTGGGAAAAGTCGCGAAAAATAAGCCTAAAAACGCACTTTCACGACAACTTGGAACTGAACAGCGCCATAAGTACGTGGTGTATTGTTAATTTATGGTATACGATCTGACAGTCTGTTTGACAATACGAGTGGTTTCTCCCTCCTTCTCACTTGCTCTCTTTGCTGTTAAATGGTGTTTACAGTGGAGAAAGAAAGAGTGAGAAACATATGAGGAATGATAAGAATTTATGTGGAGAAGGTTGAGAGAAGTAGTGTAGAGGGCGCCCTAGTAGAGTAAGATTTAAGGAGACCGTCGCGAGGAGGAGGAGAAATTTAGTAATACCGCGACACCAAAACTGAACAGACGCAATTATAATTGGTAAGCCACACTGATATACTTTCCCCTGATCTATTCCCATTCTTACATGGGGGCTCGTCCGGGATGACAGGGAGTATTCTGAGTGGAATAGTTGCGTTTCGGGAAGTTAAAGACGTGCGAAAAGTATTGCGAAGTTGTGAGCGACGCGAGTGAACCGCGAGGGATCTCGCAAAGACATTTGAAGACGTGTAGACGGGAGAATTCGCGTGATATCCGTGCGTGAGTGGCGGGAGAACGACGGCGGCGCGATTTTCCACAGCGTGAAGACGGTATCGAAGTGATTCGGTGCATTGGAGGCGTGAAGACGTGCACGTGTTCAAGCGCGAACAGTGCGAGGAAAAGACGGCCATTGAAGTCGGCGACGACTTCCGGCAGCCATCTTTAAGACGGTGATTTGTCGGTTGAATTTCGGAAGACGTCCGAAACTTAACCGCGATCACAACCAACGACGTGGCGGCGCGAAAAGTGATCGCGAGCGAAGACGCAAATCGACGAGTTCGTGTGTTGTACTAAGACGTTGTGTACTAAAATCGAACAGAGTGAAAATGGCGTCCAATGTGTCGCAAAAAGTGTCAACAATCGACGAATTGGTGGATTTAATGACGAGGAATGGGCTAATAAAGGAGTGCCAGCGCAGGAGCTTGAAGGAGGACGGCACTAAAGCCGAATTAGCCCAGCGAATCATCAATTTCGATGCAAATAAGGCGGAAAATCCAAGGGGAAGAGATGGCAACCGCCGTGGCAGTGGCGAAAACAACGATGATTCGGATTCTAGTGACGACGATGATGACTTCGAGGGATTTGACACAGTTGTCGTGGATGCGAATTCCACACCCAAGCAGCCGACGTGTTCGTCGAGCGGCAAATCGTTCAGTCTGAAGGATATTGAGGAGTCTATTGAGCATTTTGCCGGCGCCGATGGACAAGATATTGTGACGTGGTTCGTGGAATTCGAGGACACCGCCAAGTCCGCGAGGTTGAGCGATCTCCAGATGTTAGTGCTGTGCAAGAAGGTGCTTGAGGGCACTGCGAAGAGGTTCTTGTTCGCTCAGACGGGGCTGTGCAAGTACAAACGGCTGAAGCGCGCACTGATCAAGGAGTTTGCTGAGAAGTGCAGTGGTGCTGATGTTCATCGCAAGCTGCGCGAGCGCAAGAAGGATTCGAAGGAGACGGTGCTTGATTATGTGTATGAGATGCAACGCATAGCGAAGTCTGGCAATGTGGATGCTGCGACAATCATCGAGTATGTTTGTGACGGAATCCCAGGTGACCCAGTGAGTAAAGCGACGTTGTATGAGTCCACGACGATTGACGAGTTGAAGAAGAAACTGAATTCTTACTGGAAGTTGCATTCAAAGGCGAAGAGTGCTTCAGGAGCTCCTAAGAAGGCAGATTCGACGGAGGAAAAGAAGGGAAACGCTAAGAAAGGTGGCAACAAGGCGGCTACAGATAAGTGTTTCAATTGTGGAGTCAGTGGTCATAAGTCTATGGACTGTCCTGATAAAGAGAAAGGCGTGAAGTGTTTTAAGTGCAACGAGTTCGATCATATCGCTAAGGACTGTAAGAAAAAGGACGATAAGAAGAAGAAGAGTGCCAAAGTGAATATGATTAAGCAAAGTGATGAGAAGTTGGACACATTGAAAGTGAAGTTCGCTGATTATGAGAGTGTTGGTGTGATTGATAGTTACAGTGATGTGTCGTTGATGAAGGAGGCGCTATGGAGGAAGATTGAGGCGTGTTGCAGCGACAAGATGCCGTCGAGGATGAAGTTGCAAGGCTTCGGAGGTGCTTTTGGGAGAGCCAAAGGTGAAGTGATGGTTAACGCCACCATCGACGACGAGATGTACAGGTTTCTGTGCCACATTGTGCAGAATGATGCCATGGAGCCTGAGTTGTTGATCGGGAGGAATTTCCTCGATAATGTCGACTACACCATAAAGCCAGGTAATGTGATTATCAAGCCTAAAGTCCCTAATGATGCCCGTGATGCTGTTAAGCCTGAAGACGATGCGCGTGACGATGCTGTGAGTGACGTGCCAGGCGAGAATGACGCAGGGATTGATGTGGGTGGAGATAGTGCCGATACCTTGGCTGAGGTGGCGCGTATCATGCAGATTTCTGTTGAAGACGATTCAATTAATTGCCCCAAAGAGTTCGCGGGTGAGATTGAACAGATGATTGCGAATTACAAGCCGCAAAAGCCGAAGAATGTGACGATTGAAACGACAATCAATTTGACGGACGAGACGCCTGTGTATCAGCGCCCGAGACGATTGGCTCCTCTGGAGAAGAGGATTGTTGATAAGCAGATAGCCGAGTGGATGGAAGAGGGTATTATTCGCGAATCTACGAGTGATTTCGCGAGCCCTGTTGTGATTGTCAAGAAGAAAGACGGTTCACCGCGCGTATGCATTGATTATCGCGAATTGAACAAGAAGATTGTGCCCGATCGATATCCGATGCCAAGAATTGAGGATCAGTTGGATTGCTTGCCCAAAGCGCGTGTTTATTCCACCCTTGATTTAAAGAACTCGTACTTTCATGTGCCAGTCGCCGAAAAGAGTAGGAAGTATACCTCTTTTGTTACACATGACGCGCAGTACGAATTCATGAAGTCGCCGTTTGGATTAAATCTCAGTGGAAAAAGCTTTGGACGATTCATCAACGCCGCATTGCGGAATTTGATGAGAGACGGAACTGTGTTGGCATTCGTGGATGACTTGATCGTGCCGGCGAGTGACGAAGAAGAGGGAATTCAAAAGTTGAAGCGTGTTCTTGAGGTAGCAGCAGAAAATGGTCTCGTATTCAATTGGAAGAAGTGCGCTTTTCTGCAAAGGAAAGTCGAGTACCTTGGATATGTGATCAGCGAGGGGAAAATTCATTCGACGGAGTTGAAAGTGAGAGATTTGTTGAAATATCCAGTGCCCAAGACGACGAAGCAAGTCCATCGATTCTATGGATTGGCACAGTATTTCCGCAAGTTCATCGAGAACTTTTCCATGATCGCAAAGCCGCTGAGTAACCTGCTGAAGACGGGAGTCGATTTTGAATTCGGTGACGAACAGATGGCCGCGTTTAAGATGTTGAAGGATTTGATGGCTACTTATCCTGTGTTGAAGATCTATGATCCTGATGATGAAACGGAAGTCCACACTGACGCTTGCCAGACGGGAATTGCGGGTATTTTGATGCAAAAAGGCGATGACGGGAAGATGCATCCGTGCTACTATCATAGCAGGAACACCAACGAGGCCGAGCAGAAGTATCATTCGTATTACCTCGAATTCCTTGCCGCCGCGGACTCAGTAGAGAAGTTTAGCGTCTATTTGAAGGGGGTGAGATTTAAGTTGGTGACTGATTGTGCCGCGTTTATGATGACGATGTCCAAGAAGCAGTTGAATCCGAAGATTGCGAGGTTGGCGCTTGAGTTGCAAGAGTACGATTTTGCTGTGGAACATCGTGCAGGCAGTCGAATGGCGCATGTTGATGCTTTGTCGAGGGCGACAGTGATGGTGATTAGGAAGAGAGTAGATGACGTGACTTCGAAGGTGAAAGCTGCGCAAAATCAGGACGAGAGGATTAAGGCGATAAAAACAGCCTTGTCGCGTGGGCCGTATGAGAACTTTCTGTGTTGCAATGAAGTCTTGTACGTGGAGTGCGATGGCAAAAGGAAATTAGTGATTCCTAGCGCCATGGAGTTTGAGATTTTGAGCGATGCGCATTCACGAGGACATTTCGGTGTCAAGAAGACCAAAGAGTTGATTAATGACGAGTACTACATCCAGAACGTTGACGATAAGATTCGCAGGTGCATCGACAATTGCATTCCTTGCATATTGGCGGAACGAAAGAGTGGGAAACGTGAGGGTGAGCTCCACCCTATTCCCAAGGGAGATCAGCCTTTCGAGACGTTGCACATTGACCACCTTGGTCCAATGCCATCGACGAGGAAATGTTATAACTACATATTGACGGTGGTGGATGGCTTTTCCAAGTTTGTTTGGTTGTTTCCCGTTAAGTCGACGACGGCCGATGAGACTTTAAAGAAGTTGCAAACGATTTCTGACGTATTTGGTGATCCGAAGAGGATCGTGGCTGATAGAGGAAGTGCGTTCACCTCGAATGTTTTCAAGAAACATTGTGAGGAGAGAGATATTGAGTTGCATCATGTGGCGACAGGCGTGCCACGAGGGAATGGACAAGTTGAGAGGATCCACAGGATAATTATACCGACTTTGACGAAGATGTCCGTGGATAAGCCTGAAGAATGGTTTAAACACGTGGGAAAAGTCCAGCAGTACATCAACTCATCACATCAGAGATCAATTGAGAGTACGCCGTGTGAAGTGTTGATTGGAGTGAAGATGAAACATCCTGAGGACAAAAAGATTGTTGAGATTCTTGAGGAAGAGCAGAAGGCTCAATTTGGCGAACAGCGCGATGTGCTGAGGAAGCAAGCTCGACTTAGTATCGAGAAGGTCCAGGAGAAAAGTCGTAAGGCTTACAATCTGAGAAGCCGACCAGCTCGGAAGTACCAGGAAGGAGATTTGGTAGCTCTGAAGAAGACGCAGTTCGAGACGGGCGCCAAGGTGAAGCCGAAATTCATCGGACCATATAGGATTGTGGAGATTTTGCCGAACGATCGATACAAGGTGAAAAAGTCAGGAGATTTCGATGGATCGGAGACGACGTATGGAGCGGCGGACATCTTGAAGCCGTGGCCAGGAAGTGTGCATTCGGGACGAATGCAAGGCCAGGAATGGCCGTGTGGAGAAGGTTGAGAGAAGTAGTGTAGAGGGCGCCCTAGTAGAGTAAGATTTAAGGAGACCGTCGCGAGGAGGAGGAGAAATTTAGTAATACCGCGACACCAAAACTGAACAGACGCAATTATAATTGGTAAGCCACACTGATATACTTTCCCCTGATCTATTCCCATTCTTACATTTATATCGGAAAACCGATCAGAGGTTTGTGTCTCTACTCTGTGATTCAACGCAATTACGTACGTACAGTAGTAGAAAAGATTATCTGCACAGATAGAAATAACAGTAGGAGGAATATAAAATGTGCGTAGAGTACCAATAAAGATAAATGAATATTAAAATTTAACATAAACACCGAGGTGATGATATTGATTTGATGAATTTGACGTGTGAAATCCATTCAAAATTGCCGGAATAAAGTATATTGAGCCACACTGTATTATTCATACCTTTCTCCTCGTGTAAATCATCTGTGGATTTTCCTGTCGGACTAGACTTGCCAGAAGTGGTAGAACCTTCACCACTTTCCACGATAGCTGACTTATCAGGAACCAATAGCTGCTGTCCAGGATAGATGAATGAGCTCACCAATCTATTGAGCTTTGACAATTCAGAGGGTGTCGTATCAAATCTTGCTGCCACTGATGTTAGAGTATCTCGATCGCCAACCTGAGAGGTAGAAGTGTTATCATTAGAAAAGTACAAATCAGCAAATTGTTCAGCTATTGAGAAATATCACACCAACATCGTGAATACTCACTGTATAAGTTGTTGTTGGAATTGGTGGGGCTTTCTTCTTCTCAGCATCTGCAATGAGGTTAGAGAGAAGACATTGGAATTAATATCATGCCTTATCAACAAAGTGTCACAGAAAAACACTGTAACTTTGCCACACAACAATCACATTTCGGCTTCGCCCGATAATCGAATATTTCGTAATCTTCACTCAAGTTGATTGATTCGGTATTTAGCAGAAAATAAATGAGATAATCTCTCTGTCGTCTGAATATAAAAATTCTCCTTTCGTCATTCATCATGGTCAGACGAGCACTGATGCCCAGTGTGTCGATGTGAGACGGACAAAAGGGCAATATGAGATTACGGAATTGTCACAGAAATTTCAGGGAATTCACTTAGCAGTGCAAAATTTGATACTACCACAGACAATGTTACTGTTTTCCTTTTTGATTTGATTTCATTTGAATTTGTAAACGGATTCGCTCCGCCACTGGCTTTCTACTTGAAAAGTCAATGTCGCGAAATCGAAAAAAAACTAAACACAGAAGCTTAATTACAGAAATTTTTTTTTTCGGAATTGTACGTAAATGTTTTGGTAAACATTGCAACAAGGTAAACATTGCAACATTTCATACTGGAGTCTACAAATTCACTCTAGTGTCATTTTCAATTCCCTTTTCTTTCATATGATATAACTTTTATTACCTCTTGATAAGCGCTCCACGCTGTCAATTCTGCCTTCCACCTTCGACTTGAGCGAGTCCAAATCAAATGGAGCCAAACCATGATCCACACTCCTTGATTTACTCCTGCAGAGAGGGAGAGACAAAAGAGGTAGAAAGAGGTCAGTAAGTTGCTCATAATGTTTTTACAAAATGTATCACCCTCAAAAGGTGATTAAAAAAAAACAGTTCTCTTATAGATTAATGCGAAAAGAGGCACCGGGGCTAAAAACCACACAAAAAACACATTCTTGTTCATGGTCCGACACACCACAATGGACACTTTTATCTCCACTCAATCCACCTTACCTTCTGCCAACCCTTTTGATGTTGATTAAATCAAGATCTATGTCAAGGACTCGCCACGACCACACATTTTCCCAGAGAAAAGGAATTGATTTTCAATAGCACATTCCATGCAAATAAATAAGGAAGCCTCCAAGAAGAGGAAATAAAAACAGTCTTGCGATTGCCGTAAATTGATACATTTGCCGTGCAATGCTCAATTTGTCTTGTGTAAAATGTTAAAATAAATATCGCAGAAACATGAGAAAAAGAAAATAGGCAAAACAGAGGTGTTAGATTAATATACCTAACAAAAAATATATACAACCAATTTCTACACAATATTTCGGCACTTTTTTTCCTTATTTCTTACTTTGTGCGAATAAATTGGGTCAGGGACAAGCAACATTTGACAAGACTTATTAGCGTAAAAAAGAACACACTAAGTGTTAAATTTTAACACTAAGAAATTTATACTGTCAATAGCAAAACAAAAAAGAAAATTCAACACTTACCGAAAGACTGGACCTCCCGTGCGAGATAAAATATCAACATCAGCCTGACTTGATCTACGAGACCTATATAATATCGTGCAACAAACATTAAAAGAAAAAAAGGAAAAGAAAAGAAAATAAGTCGCAAACTCAGACAGATGAAAAGGAGAAAAAAAAATTGTATTAATGTGCAAAATGAAATTTGTGTGAGTAAATTGCAAGCAAAATGAAAGCGATAACATGTGAAGAGTGCAGAACATCAGTAACATTTCACTCCTCGTGTGTATTTTTAGTAATCTGTGAAGCTCAAATGAAGACATCTCAACGTATAAAATAACACATAATTTTTCCCACGTTCAGAATATTCTCTACATTAACACTCAGTCGCAATTTCGTTTCGTCCCAAAAAGGTTTATTTGGGGCAAGAATAAAATTATTGCCGACGTAAATAATGGATATTTTCTTCCTTGCTTTTATCTCATGATTTTTTTTTACCATATTCTTTTCTTACAATGTATTTTGAAATCTAGGTTAGGCCAAAGTATAGATGGCTAATTACCTACTTGTATTATCTATTCTTGATAATCCTTCTATTTCAATTTATTTTTTCGTCTTCTGGAAAACAAAGTATATGTGGCATGGAAACCTCAATCCACCACCCATTAGCTCCTGGAAGGAGCTAAAGAGAGGGAGAATTGAGAATAAAACATCTACAGTATTATCCAATTATCTCATTGTGATAAAACTCTTCCCCGAAATAGCATTGAAAGTGAAAACTTTCTGAGAATGTAATTTGCGAGAGTCAATAAGGAATTTCCATATATACTCCACACAATTGGAAAGAAGATGACCCACTTTTCTCAAAGTTTCAATCACATTTTGAATGTATGCGGGGTGGATTTTCATGAATAATCTCCTCCAGGCATATTCACAATAGTACTTTTACTAATTCAACGTGACTTCTATCCAATCGATAAGACCGGATGATAAGAAAGCATGGCGATTAAGTGAAATACAGGAGGAACAAAAATGTATATGAATGTGAATCATTTTGTGGAATTTCCTGTGTGAGAGAGTCTTACCAGTAGCTGGCCTTCTTTTTAAATTTCGACAACTGTGTCTCAAGAACCATCTTTACGTATATCGACCCAAAGTCTCCTGTCCTTCTATCGATTGGCTGTACTATGAAATTGTGACAAATATCTTGTCCTCAAACGTACGACACGTTTTCCTTTTCCTCACACACAACCTATATTATCAACATAATAGCAAATTCTCATTATAGTTTTGAGCACTTCTGCAGACACGACTCTCTGGGCGTTATCAGGAGACAAACACAAGAATGTGGACGATATGAGAAGTCGTGACGTTAAGAATTTATGACGCATATTACCATTGAGAGAAGTATGATTATTTTTAGTGACATAAATTTCTCCCTCATTTATTTATTTTGCACGATCTCAGAGGATCTCATTGCTAATTTCACTTTCACGTTCAAGAGAATTATCTCTAATTAAACATTCCACTGAGAGGTCTGAGGCATTCGCCTATTTAATTGAGTATGACTGAAAAACTCACGCTTCTACGATCTTACGGTAGTCATACATATAGATTTTTCCCTCTCCATCTTCTAAATGAACATTTATGGGAAAAGCACTGTCCAACTGAAGAATAACCTTCACGAGTAAAATGCACGTGACTTTTTCACCGTTCTTCACTTGTGCCTTTTTTATATAAAAAAAAATTATAGACATATATTTTTACCACCTCTTCCAACTGTGGCGAAGAAAACAATTCAAACAAATTAGCACATTTTTCCTTCTTCTTTTTTTCCCATTTCTAAAACTCAGCCTTCTCTATATTTAATTCACAAATATTAAACAACCCAGCAAATAATAGCGTATAACGTGACGATATAGATGGAGAGAGAACTGAACACAAAACACCATGGACAACTGGTTAAATAGTCTTCGCAAAATTATTCGGAAAATTTACTTTTCAACGTTTCACATTTTTCATCTATTTTCCTTTTATGTCACCATCAATTGTTTGATTTGTTGAATAATAATATCCTCTTATTTTTTCTTCAACTCTATTATTTGACAAAGAGCGATTTGGCAGCAGACACTTGTGAATACTTTACAACACTACACCATCATTGTTTTATTAGAGATAATTCTGGCAATAAACGATAATAGAACGCATTTTAGAATAAAAGAAATTGTCATGTCTGCAAAGTCTGCTTAATAACTCTAATATTTCAATAAAATCTCAACAACCAAAAAAAAAAATAGGTTGAATACGTGAACAAAGAAATTGCATTTTGAGGAGAGCCAACAACACACCTTTTCAATTATAGTACATCACTCACGGCAAAACTTTTCCTATGTCAAATATAATGTAATATATCTCTTCGTATAGCCAAACGATGCGCATTTGTTGAAAGCTTCTGATAAACTGATCGAATGAGGACTGCGTATACAAAAAGTAGAAAAAAAAATCATATATAATGTAATCTTTTAGCGATTTCATGGTATAAGAAAGGCCTGACATCTTATCACTTCATTAGTCCACGTTTCTACCCAGATATTTATGGCGCTGTGAGGCATTGGTGCGAGGCACATGTTTAAGTAAAAATAAGTTTATTCACGAGTGTATGTGAGACTGTGCAATTTCCATTTGAAAAAAAATATGTATGCAAAAGAGGAAAAAACCGCGAAAACCCACGCAATTTTGCAATAAACATTCACAACCTTCTCTTTCGCTACATGTTCCTTCCTTCTTAATGATTTAGACACACAATTCTCTCCACTATAGTGACAGATTAAAGACACCAAAGAAAAGACACATAAATCTCTTTCCCTCGTATCGACACACACTCAATAGTAACTTCTGGAGTTTGTTGTGAAACTGAAACTGATAGCAATGACACTGGAGAAACTTAGACTACCCACTGAGTGTCATATTGTAAGGTAGTCAAGTGAGTAGCTGTAAAAGAAGCGTCATATTCTCTTATCGAGTGACATGAGCTGCAGAAAAAACACGCATCCTCACGTGCAAATTGCGCAATAAAGTCAACAATATACTTTAATTTTGCCGCCATAAAGAATTGCATCACCCAAAAGGCAGTTAATGCTGTGCATACTCGCGCAAAAAATCACTTTAGGGGCAGTCACACTGATATTTAGATTTACGACACAAACTTTAATTCCCACGATCCAACCATATGCATCTGTGATGGATAACAGCACGAGTCACAGAGTATCCCATTCTCATCGCACTCACTAATTACTCGAATTACCTATTGAGCTTAAAAAGCGTTTAAATTTATTTTTTCACTCAACGATGCGCACTAAACGCGACACTCTGTGGCATGTGAACTTTCAAACGCATAAAGAAGCTTATAATCTATTCATTTCCAACAAGAAGAGCTGTAATAGGTTGAAGTGTTGGAAAACCTTCACTTTAAACATAATATTTGTGACTTAATTACATACATATAATGTGGAAGATTTACGGTCTTTTGATGCAGCTCCTCAAGTACACACAGTATAAGTGGATTAATGATTTATATGCCTAGGTCACAAGAATTTGAAGAAGGCAGATATAATATAGTTCATTAGAAGTTGTACAACGGTACACACATAGTATATGTGAACGTAAATAAGGATTAAAGTCTACATTTGGGAAAACACTGAAATAATAATAATTAAATGTTTTTAACACATTCTTCTGGGATTATCTCTTGAGTCATGAAATGCCCCACTTTTTTGGCCCGACACACTGTACATGAGCGGCAAATGAGAGAGCATCGCAATCAACACTGCACACATTTGCACCTGAGATGTGGTGAGCAATAGAATGGGAAGGGGGAACCCTCTCTGTTTATATTTATATTTTGCCTGTAGACACAAGTAGATGTGTACGCATGTAAATTTTGCTTATACTTCTAGTAGCTGTAAATTAAATTATGAGATTCTGATGGTTGTGTGTGAAAGTGAATGAATTGGAGGAGAATATAAGGTGAATAACACTTGTTGCACCACCACCAAATTATGTGTGACTCCAATCACCTGTCATTAGACTATAGTGTTTCAGAAAAACCTTCATCTATGTATGTTGAATTTTGCAACTTTCAATATTCAGCTTCCAAAAGCTCTTTTTTTCGTCAGTCAATGGGAGTGTTTTGAGTGAAAAGCATTAATCATATGGAGCCATTGCCTTGAGATGGAATGCATCTAACCTCTGCTTCAGATTTTCCGGCTTGAGAATATTCCACCACGAGTGCCTCTTTTGGCGTCCTCCTAAGCCCATTGGCGGTTCATCCGCCATCTCATTGTCATCCACCGTGGGTGGAAGGCCAACCTTTCGGCGTCGTCGCTCAAATTTTGCCTGCCACGATGACCGCCTGTGCCGCCTGCCAGGCAATTCCGCATGAAGATGATCCCCATTCTCCGAATTGGCCATTCCATTCTCGCTATCAGTGGCACTCTTCAGACGTCCAATTGATGGCATTTCGCCGAATTGGTCCTTGTTCTGTTGACAAATATCACGTGAGAATGATAAGTTCCCAATTCACATCGATGAAACTCTCGTCGAGAGGCATTCGCAATTAATTGAACGCAAATCAATTCTCCAATTCAGTGGGCGAGCTCAAAATGTGATTATGAGTAATTGTTGGGCGGCACTATTCTCATGGAATGAGATTGCCCTCACAGTGGACCGGCAGGAAGCGATATCAAATCATCCCGCGGAGGAGTGTTTTTTCTTTTTTTTTTTTAATTAAATTACAATCTACCTTCTGACCACTCTCGCGCCGTCCTAGAAATGCCACAGCAATGGAGCTCCGTCGCTTGCTCGGCTTTTCAGCCGTGTTGTTATTGCTCACGGTAGGACTGAGTCCCAACAGTCCCATGGCCAGAGATGAGCGCCTTGGCGGCTTAGGTGGAATTCCATTGTCCTCCTTCTCCTCAGTGGGCGTCGTGGACTCCTCCTCGAGAGACACCAGTGTCGGAATAGAGCTTGTGCTCCAATCTTTCCGCGAGCGGTACTTTCCCGCCGACAACACACTCGTCATTTTTTTCTCTTCTTTTCTTGTCTCTCTTTATCAAAATTTCACTGATAAAGCTCTCAATGTCTTGTGTTTCCACCTTCGTTTTCGACAGTCTTTCACGTACTCTTCACTCACGTCATTAACTCGCTGCCAGAGGGGGAGTATAGCGTATTTTTATGGGGAAATTTCTCTGATACAATCGTCATAAATATTTCTATTATGTCGCCCAATTACAGGTGTGTTGATTCACGATGACTTCCAAAACATCACCAATTGTGTCCAATAAAAAGACGGATTAGAGAGATTTCTGGCATAGGGACAAGTGAGATAATAATGACTCAGACCCATATTGATAACACGATCAACTCTCTTTCTGGATTGCACAGAGCTTAAGTGTTTCCTTCATACCGCATCAGTGCCAGATTACCCAGCCACAATGTTTCAATAAATAAAACTACACAAATTCCAGTAATTACAGTCTCACGTAGAGAAACAACATTCTACAAATTAATTGCAATTTACACCATTTTTATTGGCTATTCACTATGAATTTTATATACTTAGACATACTCAATTTTCTCTATTTACCAAAAAAAACGAGCTATTCACAGAGCCGACGATTAAAATGTAGAAAACGGAAGAAAACACTCTTGCCTTGTCAACTTTCATTTGGCGCATAGAAAATAAAAGGAAATTGCGACTTTTCTCCCAGCCTATAAACTCCACCTTCGAGTCTATTTGAAACTTAACAATTACTGGTAGAGAAAAAACTGCGTTGCGCCTTCGCCAATTTCAGATATGAATGTCCGATAAGACATGTAATTATTTCACGCACTGATTTATTCACAGGTACAGAAGTTTTTTTTTTTACTTCAAAAAAAGACCATGGATAAATTATTACAATTGACATTTTCCGCTCATGATACAATTTAATGCTAATTGCTTAAACTCCTTTGCCTCTCTCATTCGGTTTTACAATATAATCTCTGCATTGCTATAAACAATGCTGTTGCAGTTAATTTTTGTTCAATAACATGCAATAATGGAACGTACTTCGGAAAAGTTCAATAAATAAATATATCCAGGAACGAGATTGGATTTGAGGAAAATATGAATGAGTTATGAATACTGCGAAATTATACTGAATTACATCTATGAGTGAGTAGTAATAAATCAACAATTATTTTATGAGAAACTACAATTAAAATAGTATTGCACAAAGAACACCATATGGTGTGAGCAGTAAGAGTTTAAAAAAGACAAGTATTCGGCGGAATTTCACACTATTCAGAAACATTCTCGGTATAAAATGCTCACGAAAAAAAAACAGTGTGTAACTCATGTCTGTATTTTCCGATACAGATACTATGTAGTAAAATGCACTATATTGCAGAATTCACTATTACTGTTCTGTTAGTTATTTAAAAAAAAAATGTATTGTGCATCTTCGCGAGCATCACAAACAGTAATTTCAATGGAAATATGCAATTTATTGCTATTAAAATTTCGACATGGCAACAATTACCTCTGGATTAAATCACAAAATGCGCATTTTGAGCGGAAGTGCAGTAACCCAAATTGAATATTTATCAGTGAAAATACTCCAAAGTCAACACTTTCCCCATGTACGCAATTCGTCAACCACACAGGCACATTTCTGTTGTGCCTCAAGTCTCGCAAATCCTTGATTAGAATCCAATTAAATGGACGATTGTATCAGTGAGAATTTACAATTAGTCAACATTGTCAGGTACATAAACCCTCGCGAGAATTCTTGAAAGTTCTTCATTCCCCAAGCGAATGCAATGTTAACAACATTTGAAACACTTTGCAAAAGTTATTCACATTCCAGTTCAATGGCTTGTTCGCGCATTCAAATCTTGCACCGTGTTTTCTTCACTCTCAAACGACATCATTTCCTTTCTCTCATTCCTATCTTTTTTACTGACTTCTTCAACAATCTCGTGGTAACGGAGAATTTCTTTTCGCTTCTCTCTTTCTCTCTCGCTCAGTATATTGCATTCCATTTTGAACATTTTATCAATAATACCGACAAAAGTTTCAAAAGGAATTTTTCTATGACACAATTCTCTATACAGGTCAAAAAATAAGTACAGATCATCACGAAAGTTGGAAAATATTTCAGGCAATTTCATTTCAAATGTTATAAAGTTTCGCGGTATTTTTTTTTCTCTCTACTCTTGTGAAACTATCAACGCTAACACGAACAAGTAATATGAATGGAAATTATTTCACTTATCAGAAACCACAATACAATAACTCACAGTAAATTTCACTAATTCTACCTTGAAATATAGCAAGTGTTACCGATCCAATTTCTTAACAGAGAAAATTCCAAAAACTCGTGAGATTAACTTATTTTAAGTCCACAGTATTACGCAAAATAATGAGTTTTTTTCACATATTAAGGGGGCAACCTCAGTGAGAGACAAATCTTGGTAAATGGCACTTGGGAAATATTGGGTAGAACCACAGAGAACAGCACTTGATCATTGATCTAGGGTGATCTGTAGCGTGTTGAAAAATTTCGCGCACGTCTCGTTGGAATCTCAATTGAAAACTGAGCGCGACGCATCGATCGCGGTTGATCGCGACTCCGTTGACGGTGCTGCAAAAGAGAGTGTTCTATACTCGATGCCTCTGTCTCATAACCAGTCTCACTGTACAAAACATCGCGGTATTTGTGGCTACTTTATTAAGTGTAGGTATAAAACTCACCACACATTTGAAGAAAACAACTTTCAATTCGATTGTATTTTTGAGATCGTTGGTTGAGTGCGAGAGTTCCCCCCAAAAAGATGTGTAAGAAAATTGTCAGAGTGGAGAAAAAAGCAGAAATTGCATGCGGATAAATATATGGTCTATATAGTAAATATTTGTCCCACCACAATCACTTTGCGATTCAACAATTTGTCGCTTACTCTGGCAAAAGTTAGCAGTTTTTGCCCAAAAAATGAAACGCTATATCGTGTTGCTAAATGACCAAAAGCTCCCGTCAAGAGGTAATACATGCAAAATTTTGTACACATTAATGATTCTGAGGTTATTCATCATTATTACTCTCTTGGACAAACACAAGGTCAGGAAACTGTTCCTTCCTCTCTTTGCACTATACACACTTTTTGAGAAGAATTGCCTCTGTATAATTTTAATAAAAGTTGTAATTGATTAATGATGTTGAGACGGTAAAAAATATGCGAATAAACAAGTGTCAATCAATAGAGAAATTCACATGAATATGCGACTTTTGGTACGTAAATATTCATCAAACTTGTATAGATTTTTTTCCTTCTTTCATCTCACTTTACCTGTTGCCGGTTTGAAGAATGTCTAGAAGAGACATCATCATCTCTCATTAAGAATGTACTGCACATTCTGGTGTTTATTATTATGCCGTCTGCATACAATTAAAGATTTATAAGTAATTTAGCACGCGTGGTTGGCATTTAAGTTTCCGCCTTTTGAGATAATAGCAATAATCCTACCATAGTGGCATATTTTTTCTCAATAAAACTCACGACAGCACACGGTAAAATGTTAAGGCTTTAAAGGTATGGCTAATGGTGGAGGAATTATAAATACAGTAAAATGCAAAATTGCACAGAAAACATTCCACTGTTGTTTCACAAATTTAGTGAGAGCAAATTTATATTATGATTTCTTTTTTACTATCTTTGAAACATCCTTGTTTCACGATGAAAAAATAAAAAGAAAATCGCACAGCGTATTGTCAGACACATTGGTATATCACTGTTAAGTGAATGTGGAAGCAATATTTCAAGAAAAGACACCTTCCTTCTTAATCTGAATTCTCAAGACAAATGTGGTGATAATTATGATTTAGATGTTTCTTCGACAATTGAAGTAGTAAATCGATTCAAGAGACGCAGTCATAAACATTAAATATTCACTATAGCTGCGAGCCATATCAGCGAATCTCATTAATACAATAAAGATAAATAATTCTCACTCAATGATTACTGTATTTGTAAAAATCAATGTATTTTATTACATTCTTTAATGACCTCCCCATCATTTTCTGTCTCTTCGACGCAGGTTAAAATATTTAAAATATACAGGCAAACAATACGCACATCAAGGCTCACCACAAAGGTGGTGGAAGCAGACTCTGTGGAGGAGAAAATCTCATGTGAGATCATTCTTTCTGTTACAGTAAAACCACCTTGGTAATGACCATTTGAACTGAGTCCCCGTACAACAGAGAACACACACACGCGAGGGAAGGTTATTTTCAACTAATCTCAAACTTCAGCCACTATATTAGATATTTGTATCACCATTAAATTCACGGAGGTCAATACTGAGTAATTTCTGTAATTTTATTTTTATCGCATAATTATTCTTCCACATGGAGAGGCATATTATACATCTTAATAGTGAAACTTCAATGGATTTTTTTTTCATTACACCTTTCAGCCCAGACAAATCAGTATTTCACAACATGATGAGTATCTCGGGATTTTTTTTTCCTTTTTATTAGAACTCGGTTGAAAACACTCAAGCCCACGTCTTCATTGCACGATTAGTGTTGGAAATGTTTTGATTCATATTGTATTTATTTATATATAAAGCAATTCATGAAACCTCGCTTCATTGACAATTTCACGATCAACTCCATTTTAGAATTGGAATTGCATAACTTAAAAGAGCATTAAATTAATCTCGCGATGTTCGACAAATCAACTGGAAAGTTCATATTTTTGAAATACCCGCTGGCACACGCAATTCTCATAGCCTACATAGGGCTACAAGAGGTAATTGAGACAATGAGTTGGCAGTTGAGACAACCTTGCAGATTTCACTTGCCTTCTGTCGTCAATCAATGCAATTTTTCTCGACAGGGTTAAGGATCTGGAAGTGCCACAGTGCATTTTTGGTCGTTGATGCATTGGATGACCAAAATATAATTTCACAAAGAGTTGTGCTCACAGAGATCAATAACGTTCACTTCGCCATGGAGCTTTGTCCGCTAAATGGCCCCAACGTGAAGGACATCATGTCTCTTCTTTGATCACATAAAAGTCATCATAATTTTAGAGCATCTTCACGTATGAAATTATCCAAAATTAGCCAACTTCCGCGATGGAATAGCAAAATAACCTGAATTCTGACATTTTTATCACAAAATTCCGTCTGATGGTCAAACACCTTTAACTTTGCTATATTAGTAAATAATCTTCTATGCTACAGAGACTTACATTTACACGATTATACCAAAATGTACATTGTGAATGACTGCGAGGAAATCCAGAGTGAGGGGAAAGACATTTGCTAACTACTTGCCTTGATGATACCATAAATTTCATATCCAATTTAAACCGATTCTTCGCACGGAAAACAGAAAGAGGTGATAAATCAATAATATAAAATACGAATTAATCTGAATATAACCGGTTTTGTTATCAACATTTCTTTCCAAATCTGCTTTGAATTGGTTTCTTCTTAAACATCTGCAACTCCAAGAATAAATAGTCTAATTCTATTCTTAAAAATTGTTGCTTCTCTTCGTAACCATATTTAATGTAATACATATAGTTTTTTTTTATAAAGGTCACTCTTGCTGGTTTGTCTTTTTAGAAACCCAATAAAATACTATCTAATGAAATATGTCGCTGAAAGACTGAGTTCCGAAAGGTG